TTCCGTTATATTTTCCTCTTTCATTATGGCCGTCAGGGTCTCGTTTGTATTCTGAGTATTTCGTCTATCTGGTCCGGAGCAAGGGGGAAAAGTCTCTTACTGACAGTCATGAATTGCATGTGTATCCTCTAATATCCATTAATCTACATCTCCATTTTTATCTTTATCTCCATTTTCTTCTATTGAATGCTACATAAACCAGACCTATCTTTAATACTGCCATTATGCCTCGGCAAGGTGGATATCGCGCTAGTCCCGAAAAGGAAGCCAGGACTTTTCATCTTTTTACCGGCAACAGAAGAAGAAACGCCTCGCAACTCTCAACTAAATAGATACACAGCCTGACGCTGTCTTTTGATGACTATAGAATAGACCGCTCGTTTACTAGAGAAGTTATGTCTACAGCCTAACTTCATTTTCTTTTTCTTTCTTCTACCCGAAATACTCAATATCCGATGTCCGCGGGCCATTCTACCCGTAATCTGTCGTCTCGGTCTATACACAACAGCACAGCAAACTACATGGGCTCGAGGGCCGGAAACCGTGATATAAGGAGCTTGCTACGAATATAGAAACAAAAAGGAGGCGTTACGTTGGCGCCTAGGATAAATATGAACTCTGCCGTTCGGTCGTTACCTGCCCTGCGACTCGTTGCGCCAACCTCGAGACCTACCGTTTGCGCAACGTGTTTGAATAGAGCTGTTCGAAGCTATGGGAGCCCTTCTGCCTCTCCCGCAAGGTTCAGTGGGAATGGCAACGCGAGGTCTCTTCAGCATGTAGCTCGGTTGAGAAGGGCGGATGTTGAAGGGCAGTGGGGTACGGGACGGAGCATGAGGATGGGCATGGCGACGGCGGCCGCGGTGGGTGAGGAAGAGAATAAGGTCGATGCTACTTATGGGCCATTGCAGGAATATGAAAGTCGAGTTGAGGCAGGCCTCTTGAGAGACGACGACCACCAGAGAGGTAGGCATACATCTGTCCGGCCTCAGCTTTCTATATATATACTAACTTGTGCGCCTAGCTATAATACAACACCTCCAAGACCTTCATGACATGCTATGCGACTATAAAGCGCCTACCGTTGTTCACCCGTCGCTAGAATCGCTGAACCCGCAACCACCCAAATCCTCATTCTTCAGCATGCTATTCAACAATACCCCGAAGCCAGCCGAGACTACTCAGATACCCGCAAACCTGCCAAGGGCCTATACATGCACGGAGACGTAGGATGCGGCAAGACAATGCTCATGGATCTATTTTACGACACGCTTCCTCCCTCCATCACCTCGAAGACAAGAATACATTTCCATAACTTCATGCAAGATGTTCATAAGCGGTTGTTCGCTGTGAAATCGCAGCAGGGCGCAGACGTAGACGGTGTACCGTTCGTGGCAGCTGATATAGCCGAGAAGTCAAGCGTGCTTTGCTTCGACGAGTTCCAGTGCACAGATGTAGCTGATGCGATGATACTGCGGCGTCTACTTGAATGTCTCATGTCTCATGGTGTGGTGCTAGTGACCACCTCCAACAGACACCCTGATGACCTATACAAGAACGGAATCCAGCGCGAATCATTCATACCGTGCATCCACCTGCTTAAGACAGCGTTGACGGTAATTAACCTAAACTCGTCCACGGATTACCGCAAGATCCCTCGTCCGCCGTCAGGCGTATACCACCACCCAATGGATATAGCCGCAGACAACCACGCGGATAAATGGTTCAGGTACCTAGGCGACTTTGAGAACGATCCACCTCATCCCGCCGTACATGAAGTTTGGGGAAGGGATGTATACGTTCCTCAAGCGTCTGGGAAAGCAGCCCGATTCGCATTTAACGAGATCATTGGCCGTGCTACAAGTGCCGCAGATTACATCGAGCTGATGAACCATTACAACTCGTTCATCATCACAGATGTTCCTGCCATGGGCCTGCATCAGCGAGATCTAGCCAGACGGTTCATCACTTTCATTGACGCAGTGTATGAGAGCAGGGTAAGTTCTTACATACCCGCATCGCATACTTCACGACACGCGTACTAACACCATATATATCACAGGCGAAACTGGTTCTCACCTCTGCGGTCCCTCTACGAAACCTCTTCCTATCAGAAGACGATATCAAAGAAGCATCTTCCCAAGACGGTGATGCTGCGTCTAATAACGAACTACAGGCCGACATGCGTAATCTCATGGACGATCTAGGCCTGAGCATGGACCAGCTTAAATCAAGCTCGATATTCAGCGGTGACGAGGAACGCTTTGCCTTCGCTAGAGCTTTGTCTCGTTTGGCTGAGATGGAAAGCAAGCAGTGGGTTGAGCGTGGTCTGGGAGTTGGTATGGATGAGTTGCATGGTCAGGAGGAGAAGGCCGCTTGGGATAAGACGAGAAGTAAGTGGAGAGAGGATAGCATGTAATTGCTATTACTTATTATATACCAGGGGTTGTTCGATTCCCTATTTGTTTGTTGTTACTTAGCTATAGATCAGCGTTGGTTGATACATTTGCACATACTTGACTTCGGCTTGGCTACTTTAATGCAAAGAAATAGATCATCATTAATTTGATAAATTCCTCATTATCATCAAAAACATTAACAAACATAAAATATACACATACACATCCAATAAACACCAATTTCCACACATTCGGGTATGTATAGTTACCATCAACATGCACAAAAGAAAACACACAATTAAGAAATAAAAACCAAATAAAAACCCTAAACGCAAACCAAGCCTCTAAACAAAATGAAACCAAAACATATGGAGTCAGACGAGATCAGAATCGGGCGGTACTCATTTCCCTCCCAAAAAGGCTATCTTGTAGGTCACCGTATTAAGGTTTCTCTGAATAGACCAGCCGGTTTCAGTAAACCAGTCAGTGACTTTTTTCTTGACACTCCTGTGCGGAATCCTCTTTCCAATCGAGCTGGGAGCGCCGGAGCTTCCTGCACTGCTTCCAATAGGGAACTTGCCAGCGCTAAACTTCATCTTGCCCTCAGCGAGCATCTGGACAACATTGAGAACTGCAAAGGCTGTAGAACCGATGCCGCGGAATACAGCCAGACCAGCAACGCTCCAGAGCACAAAGGCTAGGTAGCCGTTACTTCCAATGTGCTTGGTGCTGTACGACTCTGTCACGGCCATGCCTAGAATTGCGTTGGCAATCAACCATACAGAGACCATGTATGTTCGGACAGCGCGGTAGTAATCTTCTTGCATCTGGGATTCGGACAAGGGCGGTTTCTCAACTTCGAGTCTGTCTCGAAGGTTGCGCAATGCCTCGTCATATCCACTGTCAATGTCGAGTTGCTCAGAGGGCATTTCAAGTTCGACTGTTGAGGAGCCGGTAATACGTGCCGCACCGAGATCGGTGTGCAAGACATTGTCTCCCTTTGTACCCCAGGTAACATCGTGAGTATTGCAAAAGGCATAAACCTGAAGCGTACAGATGTAGCTGGGTAAAAGGGCAAAGTACTGGGCAGACGAGGTAAACATGTGCCAAGGATCAAGGTAGATAAATGACATGATGAAGTATAGACCAATGGTTGACAGGGTCGACACAATCACGTTAGTGAATACGTTTTGTCCTAGAGTTAGGTTATTTTTGTTTTCCTTTGCCGTGAATTGACGTATGACAACGTATAAACCGGCAAATGTTGTGTACACCATGATTATACTGTATACAATCATTCCACTCAAGAACATTTTCCTCGCACTATTTATAAAGGTAAGTATGTTTTTCAACTCTGTTGACTAAAGAATAGCTCACTTACCCTTGAGGTCGGTTGCCCATGGAAAGTATAAATTGTAAACAAATAAGTAAGACGCAAGCATATCTCAAAATGATGAAGATGATGTTGGCTATTCCATGACCGAACGGATCTATCTTTGGATCCGCCACAGCTAGAGCAACGAAATAGAAGGTGATATAGAAGTTTGCCTGGCCAGAAAGAACTAGTTAGCATTTGCTTGCATCTAATGATAAATGTAAAGGTTAGTTCAACTTACAAGAGAGAAAAATGTAAAGATCAAGCTGACAAATTGATAGATGAATTCAATATGCAACAATATCTTCCGAGCAACCGTGTGGTCGGTCTTCCAAACCTGTCTAAAATGAATCAGAGAATAAACAGCGGCGAAGAAGGCTCCATTAAGCCATCGTCGACGTTGAGAAATAAACTCGGGTACAGTATCTATACCAGGCATCAGTATAATGGCTCTAGTTATACCTGTGTGAGATGGCAGTCAACTTACCTGGAACATCAGTTTCACCAACAGCGCTCTTGACGAATTTCAAAAGCCATTGCTCATCTCGTTTAGCAACCAATTCCCAACAGAGAATACGATCTTCAGCAAGATACATGTTTGCCGTGAAGACGTCAGCGTTCTTTCCGTGCAACATCTCACCCTTGAAATATTGACTGAGAGGGCCATGTCCAGTGGAGTCATTCTGTAGTGCATGGTATCGATAAGCACTCAATGCACCGGGCAACACAGTGATATACCCGAACAAAGATTCCAATGGTTTATCCAAAATATTAGACATCTTGTACTCAAAATTCTGAGAGGCAACCAAGGGGTTAAGTAGGCCGACCCATCCCTTTCCTTTGCCTGCTTTGATTTCCCCGGCAGCGCCAGCAACGTTAGAGTCCTGATCAAATGCTTTCCAAAGATGGTACAAGGCAGTTGGTTCCGGCTTTGTTCCAACATCAAGCAAGATACAGACATTAGGGTTCAATGCACGGCCGAACCCATTAAAGAACCATCTATGGGAATTGAGCTTCTTCTGATTTCGCTCCTTGAGACAGAACATCATCTGGCAAGGCACAATACCCTTTTCGGCACCCTTGAACTTCAAGTCTGGATCTAGAGAGACCTGGGTTGTGTATTCGTACAGATGGGCCGTGACTTCTTTCTGATTGACGATGTTCTTTGCAATGCCGTCTTGATATACGCCAATGGCACCTAGCGCATTCAAGGTGCGAGGATGAACTTTGTGTCTTCCATCAGCAATGATGCAAACAACGATTTTCTTCCATCCATCCTTTCCCCATGTTCGTGACTTGGTTCTGGAGCAGAAGTGGGAAATGTTTCTCATGATTCCATGCATCGAACGGGTGAAGTCAATTTCGTTTTCGTTATACATCGTGACGCATATAAACAACTCTGTTTCTCTCATAGTACTGCCAATGTTTTGACGAAGCTTGTATCCCTTTGCTACAAAGTCGTCGGGGTCGCAGGTGACGGCAGTGTATCTCATGTGGGTGAATTCTCGGTCATCTCTCCGGGGCAGGAAGCTGTGCAAGATGGTAGGAATCTTACATTCCAGGATAAGCTCTCCGTTGACAAGCTTGACTTCCTTCTTTGTCATTAATGCCTGCCTCACACCTCTTCTGTCCTGACGGCCAGTGGGAGCTGAAGCATACACTTCGGCATAGCTCTCGTCGTCATCATCCAGGTTACCCTTTTTCATATGTTCCTTTTCCTCTGTCACCATAGTAGACTCGCTGAAATATGATCCGTAAGACCTGAGGCTCCCATGGGAAGAACGTTTGGGATCTATGGTTCTACCGTTACCTCCAAACACATCGTCCGTTTCATCATATTCGTCAGCCTCTCCAATATCAATGGCGGTCTCGCTGGATGATAACGGGGCAGTGGCAGAGAACAGCGGTGCTGGGGGAAGAGGACGTCTTGGACTCCCCCCATATCTTGAACTCGGAGTTCCAGGGCGTGGACTTCCATTGATGTCCTCGGGTTCATAGTTAATGCTCGAAACAGATGATGGGCGACCCCGCCAGCGTGTGCTGCGTGAAGGAGTCCAGGACCTGGTAGGTGATGGCGGGCGTCCTGCATAGTGGGATCCATCCATGTTTGGTGCGTCCGGGGGTGAGATAACTGGAGCTGGGCCCATAGCAGAGGCGCGTTGTGAAATAGAAGCACTGGCGATAGAGGGTTGATGTTGAAGGGGTTGATAACGTTGGGATGAGGATCTCGAGGGGGATACGGGAGAGCTAGTTAACTTTTGGTCAGCTTCTAATTCATCGATTGCTTCCTGGATGGACGGCAATGTGCCTTCAGTTGTAGTTTGAATTGGGGGAAGGGACCAGTGGTCAAGGGCAAGGCTATCATTTTGACGCTTGGTTCTTGGAATCAATAGCGGTTTTGGGCTGGCTAAACGTAGGGGAGCAGGTACAGCAGGGAGACATATACGTAATGAAGATTTTTTTCTGCTTGTGCTATATTTGATAGGGCTGGTGTTGGTAGAGTGACTAGGGGAATTTCTCTTGGAGAGATTCTCAAGAGGAATATCATAGGGCAAGGCAAAGAGGGGAGGATCAGGAGAGGCAGGGGATGGGGAGTTGACTGGTGCTGTGGTCTTGGGAAGTGTGGCAGGGAGCTCGTTTGGTATCTTGCTGCCTGAAGCTGCGTCTGGTTGTGGTTGCTGTGTGCTGCTGCCATCTTGCGATGTTACATACTGTTGACGTTGTAATGTTGAAGAATTCTGCATCCCGAACTGCGCGCTACCAAGATCACTGCCAACGGCGTAGGCATCGTATGCATCATAGGTATCATAATTTTCGTTTATACTGCTTCCGGAGCCAGCAGGCAGCAGGCGCATTGTCGCGGAGGCATTCACTCCAGCCGCGGACATGGAGGTTCTCATGTCATCGTTATCGTCATAATTGTTGGGAAGCGAGTAGGACGGCGGCTCCTCACTGTAGCCCGGAGGAGCCGAATGGCCTCCCGTCTGGTCCATTGAGCGCTATAGCAGTCGTTGCTGGTTGAGTACTCCGTAGGCGGCGGATAATGGCGACGTAGATGCAGAGGATGGTCGATCTAGATCAGTTATATCGCATAGTAGGTAGAACCCGACTGGTGATGGTGTCGGCCAGCAAGTCACAAGTCGACTATGGGTATATCGGAGGCGATAAGTACTGGATAAGTGATAGAAGGCCAACCTGAAGCTGAAGTTGCAGTTTTGTAGAACTTTGGGCTCTCGCTTTGCTTTCACCTTTGCGGCTTTTCGATGTAAACTCGACGTTGTCATGGCAACACGATGACTAAGCCGGCGGTAACTCTAAATTTATCTACATGAAGGCGAGAAAAAAGAAGAAAACATGAAGTAGAAGAAGAAGACGAAGAAGAAGATAGTTAAAGAAGAACCATTTGACGTTCGATGAAGTCGCTCTACATACTCTCAACGGTGGCGTCGGGTATGACATATCTCGCCGGCAGCAGGTCCTGCACCTTCTCGACCTTCACTGACCCGTCAGCGTCCCGCACTATCGCCTTGATATCTGGATGCAAATCGCCCAAGACCTGTCTGCAACGGCCACACGGACTGAGAATCATTCGCCCTTGGTTTCCCACAGCGACTATGTGGGTGAGTTTGGGTGGCCCAGCCATGGCAGCAACTCCCAGGACGACGAGCTCGGCACAGGGTCCACCGGTGAAGTGATAGACGTTGATGCCAGTGAAGATGCGGCCATCTTCAGCGAGCGCGGCGCTGCCAACGCTGTAATCTTCGGATACTGGGATGGCCTCTATCGTCTTGGCTGCGACTTCGATGAGATTCTGCTCTGCCTCGGAAAGGTGGGAGTAGATGGTAGCCATTGCTATGCTGTTAGCTCGGCCTATCTGCAATAGACCACTACCTAACTTACTTGAGGTTTTAGATTATATGTCTCGGACTTGCCAGCAAGTTGCTCTTTCTGCAAGATGTCAGAAGAACGTGAACTGCCTGTTTCCTGTACCTGACCAACTAGACTTTATATATACATCCTCCGGGTCTGAAAATGGTAGCCGACGGGTGATCAGAGCAAAAAAAAGACTGGCTGGCTCCACGCCTTGGCAGGGCGAAACCAGATCTGGACTCCGAACGGTATATCGGCCCGTATTCAGATCCAGGGAGACATGCAGATGTTTACTAGGGCGGGTGATATATAGAATGGACTGAGGATGGTATTGGCAACTTATGTGGGAAGTAATGGAATATAAAATAGGCATTATCACATATCAGGAACCAAGGAAAACTTGCAGTAGCTACAGGTATAGAGACGAGAGACGAGATTAAGAACACGCCGGCTAAGAAGACAAGCGGAATATTACTTGAAAGACGATGAAAAGAGTCCGAAACAAGGTCTCTTGATTGAAATATCTGGCCTGAGAGTATAGCAGCATCTCCCGGGCCTCGCCTTGTCTCGTGTACGTATTTGATAGAGTGGTGAAGTGTAGATATATGTTTCTGGTTAAGGGGATGGGTAGACTCGCACCAAAGAGATATCGAAATATTAGGGTAACGGTTAGTAGAGATATCGAACCAAGCAGTCAAGAGAGTCAAGCTGAGTATCAAATTGGTACTCGAGTATTAACCGGATTTACGATGGCAGCGGTAGACTGAGCTATTTACTCGTTGGTGAGGAGGGGTTCACGCTCACGGTCACCTTGCTCTGGCTCCTCGCGGGGAATGAGGAAGAAGTTGAGGCCGAGGACGTTGGTGATCGTGCTGTAGAGGGAAGAAACAGCGAAGATACCGAAGATGGTGAAGGCAAAGATCCACTGCAGAGAGATGATCTTGATAGCCAATTGTTTGAGCGAGAGGGCTAGAGAGATCAGTACCTCAATTCACGTTTGGGGGTTGGCATAAGAGGAGTGAAAAAGGAAAAAAACTTACAGAAGGTCAACAAGGTTAGAGCGTATCCAAGGTATTGATCGTTACGGAGAACGATGTGAGCCTGCCCATAGATAAAGTACACCCAGATAAAGACGTTGGCCACCAACCTCAAGGGGGTGCTGTTGCTGCCAACAGCAACGGCACCGTTCCAGAAGAGGGTAAGCAGAGACCAGGCATACGGTCCAGCCACGACTGGCAAGTGGATGAATGGGTGAAGGTCTGAGAAGCTCCAGTAGAGAGTGGCCTGATTGATCAAGCTGAAGATATCAAAGACCTCAGCCCACCAGAACTTGGCATGGGTGAAGAGCAAGATAAAGGCCAGCACGAAGAGGTTGTTGAGCACAAAGTACGGTGCCACGTTGGCAGCCGTGGTAAGGTGCTGTTCGTCTGAGCTCCACAGCTGACCGACATAACCAAGCTGGGAAATGAGCAGAATGACCCTGTCAAAGGAGTCCGTCAGCAAAGCCCTCTCTCTCTCATGTCTCTCCCTCATATAACTAATTTCCCAACAGAGCAAAACTCACCAGTAGATACCGGTGACTACCTTGGTCTGAGAGAAGGCATTGAGGCGGTCGTCGTGAGCGAGGGCAAGGAGGGCATCGCCATGTTCCTTCTCTGGCGTGCCTTGGTGCTTGCGATGGGTGCCCGAGTAGATGCCAACGGCCACGACGAGCAGCCAGGAGATCGTGCTGGCAGCCTGGTAAGCCCAGATAGAGCTGCGCTGATACGACGAACGCTTGACGAAGGGGTTGTCTAGGATGGAGATGAGTAAACCATGCCAGCTCAGCGGCCGATAGGCCAAAGTAATATCAACACGATGCTTGTCTTTTGCTTGTCGTGCTTGTCCCGGACTACTCACATGTATGGGCTGTCGAGTCTGCCATCCTGTCGTCGCTGGATCTCTCTCTTCTATGCTCGTTATTGCGGGTGTGCTGGGTGTGATGTCGTGATGTCGACGTCCTCGCTGTCGAGTTTGGGGGATGATGTCCTTGCGGATGTTCTTCCCAGAGCTCCTCTTTTCGCCCCCCGCAGCAGCAGCGCAAAAACAAGGTCGTCGTCAGGCAGCTAACTAAACCTTTCTCCTGCTAGTGAGCTCGAATTAGCTTGCTTGGTAAACTCTGCGCGCTGAGCTAGTTGGGATGGTCCGAAGGCTTGACGCTCTGCTCGGCCTCTCCCTTTGCGTCGTTCCAGCGCATGCTGAGGCCGCAGGAGCAATCAAAGCAAGGCAGAGGAGGCAGCTGACGTCCCTGTGCGCCCATGGCTGCATGGCTGCATGGGACTCGCGGCATAGCTGGTACGCAGCTCTTGGTGCAAGCTCCCGCAAAAGCCAAGTACCAGCTATGCAGCTTGGACCGTCGCCCTGTGCAGGCATTGTTCCCCTTTAGGCAAGTTTGCGGGGTCGGTCACATGTTACGCTTAAGAGCGGCATTAGTCAGCGAACCCAATGCTACTCTCTTAGTCATCATATTAGTCATCACTTTAAATTGACTTCTTTTTTCCTTTTTTTCTTGCTTTATTTTGACGTCAACAAAGACAAACTTCGAGATGACAGTAAGACAAGGAAAAAGACGCTGGAAGACGAAGACGAAGGTGAAGGCGATGAACGGCCGGCAGTGATGGAGAGATGCCGTGTGTTATCGCGGGCCTATGACTGGCTGCGGGCCTTGTCCGAGTGTTTCTTCGCTAGCTCCTGTCTTGGGACGCTGGAAAACACACACTCGGAGACCAGCAACGGGAAATAAAGAGGGACTACGTACGCCTCCTCGTCCTGATATCAAGACAGCCTGCCCCTGGTGCCCTTTCAGCACCCTATAATCTGCACTATATATGTTTAAATATAGTTAAGTCGAAACAGCCAAGACGATACCTTTCCCCCGACGCTGGTCTTGGTATTAATAAGAGGAATTGCCTTCTTTCGCCTGCTTGTCTCGCCCATTGGCTACGGCGCGGACAAGCGCAGATAAGGCCTGCTCAACTCAAAATGAAATATGGAACCAGAAAAACAAAACAGTGAACCGAGGAAACGAAGGCACTGGAATGTTTCTCGAAGGAGGGTCACCCTCGATCCCGCTGGTCGATCACAGAGCCTGTCGATCTGGTTCTCCATCACACCAGGAAGCCGACGTCGCGCTAGGTCTAGATCACGCTGGATATGTTTCTTCTTCTCCAGATGGATGTGTGATGCATTGAATATGTATACAGAGTACATATAACTCCCTTCATACTCATAAAACCGGTGTCGATTGGCATATAATCTGGGCGCTGCACCCCATATTCTGGAAGATGAACCACTGCGAACTCTCCCCGCGTTGCAAGAAAGTTAGCTTGCGTTCTCCTTCAATTTGCTTTCTACTTGGCGTATCCACTGCTGGACGTCGACTTGTTCGAAAAAAATTTCTAGGGTCGCGTGGCTAGAAGTGGTATCACATTAGAGACGAACTAGCCGGCGAGCTGGCTATTCTTAGGGGCCAGCAGCTGCCCTTTTCTCCCCCTCCCCACCCCCTTCCTTATTGCCGCCGTCAACCCCAGACAGGCTATCTCTCCAGATACCAGATACCACATCATCATATCCGGATATCAATTAGGCTCACGAGATTATCATGGGTATCCTGGGTGTCCAGCGTGTTGCACATGGGCGGAATTCTTCAGGTAGGATTCCGGACCGTCTGCCCTAATACCCAAGCCGTGATGCGGGTCTGGAAAGGGGGAGAAAGATGAAGAGGGCCCTATCTTGCTTCCTTTCTTTTTGGCCGCCGTAACCCGTCACATAGTTAGCCGTCGTGATACAGTTGGTCATCACCGCTGTTACCGCCACTGTCAGATGAGGGTGTTGGCAGGACTTTGCGGAAGATGGAAACGAATATAAATATCCCCCAAGGTGCCGCCGATCTGCTCTGAAATTCCTCGCACGGATCGAATTGATCTTCAGAGCTGATCTTCGAGAGTACTCTATCCCTTCCTCTCTTTCCCCATAACTTACCCCTGATAGACTGTCTATCTCCCGAAGATCTACCTGACGGTTAGTCACAGCAGCTCTCCTCCAACCTCTGCTTACTCACAGCCGATAGACCTCTTGCTGACTACTCTTCTGTAGCCATGAAGCTCCTCTCTGTTCTTGCGCTGAGCGCAACTGCTTCCTCCGTTCTCGGAGCCAGCATTCCTGTTGACACCCGGGCCGAGAAGTTCCTTATCGAACTTGCTCCTGGCGAGACCCGCTGGGTCACCGAGGAGGAGAAGTGGGCGCTCAAGGAGGTATGTGCCACTGCCATATGCAAAAACGCTGCCATGACCAGACAAGATCACTTACTGACTTCCATTACAGAGTGGCCAGGACTTCTTTGACATCACTGACGAGGAGGTTGGATTCACCGCTGCTGTTGCCCAGCCAGCCGTTGCATACCCAACCAGCATCCGCCATGCTGATGCCGTTAACGCCATGATTGCTACCCTCTCCAAGGAGAACATGCAGCGCGACCTGACTAAGCTCAGCTCGTTCCACAACCGCTACTACAAGTCTGACTATGGCAAGCAATCTGCCACTTGGCTCCAGCAGCAAGTCCAGGCTGCCATCACTGCCTCTGGCGCCAACCGCTATGGTGCCAAGGTCGCCAGCTTCCAGCACAACTTCGCGCAGCACAGCATCATTGCTACCATCCCCGGCCGCTCTGCTGAGATCGTTGTTGTCGGTGCTCACCAGGACAGCATCAACGGACGCAGCCCAATGACCGGTCGTGCCCCAGGTGCTGATGACAACGGAAGCGGTTCCGTCACCATCCTCGAGGCCCTCCGTGGTGTCCTCCAGGACCAGACCATCGTCCAGGGCAAGGCTGCTAACACCATTGAGTTCCACTGGTACGCCGGTGAGGAAGCTGGTCTCCTCGGCTCCCAGGCCATCTTCGCCAACTACAAGCAGACCGGCAAGAAGGTCAAGGGAATGCTCAACCAGGACATGACCGGATACGTCAAGGGCATGCTCGACAAGGGCCTTAAGGAGTCCTTCGGTATCATCACCGACAACGTCAACGCTAACTTGACCAAGTTCATCCGCATGGTCATCACCAAGGTATGCCCCCTGAGTCTCTATGTTTTACTGATAGAAACATCCTAACATCGACCGTAGTACTGCCAAATCCCAACCATCGACACCCGCTGCGGCTATGCTTGCTCCGACCACGCCTCTGCTAACCGCAACGGCTTCCCATCTGCCATGGTCGCCGAGTCTCCTATTGACCTCCTCGACCCCCACCTCCACACTGACTCCGACAACATCAGCTACCTCAGCTTCGACCACATGATCCAGCACGCTAAGCTCGTTGTTGGCTTCGTCACTGAGCTCGCCAAGTAAACCTGACTGCTGACTGCCCTAACCTGTCAATATCGTACATTTACTGTGCACCCACCCTGTACATAGCCATATTCCGTACATATATTCTTGATACATACTTATTAAATTCATCATATATTTGAAGACTTTACATCTGCTCCGTCTCAATCTCTGCTCCGTCTCGATCCTGCATATTCCGCATCATCATCATCACCATCAGTGCATCTAGCATAGTTGGCTGGGGTATTGCATACATGGTTGGCTGTGTGACCCCAACGAGCGATGTAAAGGCATGCGGCGGCCACAAGCGATCATTGGCCCGGAGGATCTCGGCGGCGGAAACAATCCACAAGGAATGATGATTCACAGCGAGTCATCGATATACGAGACGCGACCTCCATCCTGGCAAGTGGAGGCCTATTAATATCGCTACGCTGCCCGTCTTGTACGGAGTACTAGTTATATGCAACCATACTCCATATAACTACGTCTTTCCGCATCGCTACGATGGCGGTCCATCCGACTCTCAATGCCAGCCCAGCAGCTGGATCAGCGGCAGCAGCGTCGAACGCTCTCACGCCGCAACAGGTCTACGCAATCTCAAGTTGGTCGGAGCAAGCGATCGAGAGCCTCACCCTTGAGTCTTCGCCGATTCCCTATCGCAATTCCGCACCCTTGACCATCCCGCTGGATGACGATGTGCAGCAGCCGGCCTCGCCTACTCCTGCACGGCTGAGACGCAGCGTCCGCGTTGCTGAGGGTGCCACGGCCACGGGCACTGCCGCTACCACTGCTACTGCTGGGCCATCGACGTACAGGCGCAGAGAGCCATTGCGCCGTGACAGTCTGAAGCGTCGTGAGTCGTTGCTCAAGGGCAAGGAAGGGAGTCGACGACGACAGCGCTGGGAGAACGGTACATTATATCTCCATTTTCCCACTTCTACTTCTCCTTCATCGGCTGGCGGAATGGCTGACACATCACTATAGATCGTCTACTGAGCAATCCGTGGGCTCAGCCTCCATCCGCAAACGACTGGGAAATTCAGCCAACGTATCCTCGTCATAACCCGGTGCCATACTATCTCGCCTCCCTCTGGGACTCCCATCAAGCCGCAAAGGAACAAGCCCGTCGCAGGTCGAAGAGAGAGCAAAGCACATCCGAGAAGAGGACAAAGAAGAAACAGAAAGACGGAAGTGCTAAGGCTGCTCACGCCAACGCAGAGCTCGATAAGATATCCAAGGAGCTGCGGGCTAAGCTGAAGCATGCTCGTGCTGCCCGAGGACTAGTCCAGGAGCTAGAAGAGGAAATCCGGCTGTTTATGCAGGAATGGATTGAGACGCAGACGTGGCGTCAGGCAAGAGAGCCTGAGAGTGAATGCTGTAGCGATGACAGCTCGGGTGAAGAGGATGAGGTCGTTTTCGTCGGCCGCAAGATGAATCCGTCCAATAGCAAACAGCGACGGCCGTCTCGAGCGCTGTCTGGCGAGAAGATGGTCTTTGAAAGTCCTGTCGAAGATCGAGCTGCTGGTTTCGGGTAAGTCTTTCATCGTTCTTGGAATGATGTATACAGGGCGTAACTAACTAGTTAGGCGATGGCTTGTTCACTCTTTGGCATCATACTACGGCCTTCGAACCTGGTCTGTCACCGTCGGCAACCCTCCTCGTCGTGAAGCGTATGTGGGAATCGACGAGCTTTCAGAGGAACTTCTGGCTGCTGCTTGCCGGGGACTCCCAGACAGCAAACCTGATGGAATTCTTCCCCGGCCTCTCTGGGTATCGATGTAGACGGCTTTTATAATCCCTCTTCCCGATTCACTCTCTCCGTAGTATTTTATTCTTTCATCTTTGGTTCCCTTCGTTATTACATCTATCCTATTGCCAGCCACAGCCTGTCTAGATGATATAATAGAAGGAAACCGCATTCTTCATCACTATCATACAAATAACTTAAAGCATTTACTAATTCTAGGCATACTTACAGATATACAACTATATGCCTGCCAATCATACAGTTCAACGACTATAATCATGATATGCTAACGCTTTCAGAGTCGTGGAAGAGGCTTACATCAACAGTCTTCTATGCACTCCTTGCCCTCTCTTTCTTTCTACCAACTCACTACCGGAATTTACCTCCCCTTATGTCCATGTGACTCTTTTGGGATAACTCTACTGCATCGAACTCCATGATACCCCTTTGTTACTGATAATTAATTGCAGCCTATGCTATAGGTAGAACATCCTACAAGCTGGCTGTTTCCAACTTTATAGTTGTATCACTTTTCTTTCTTACTCTTCGGAGTCGCTGAAGAGCTACTCACCAGTACACCAGCATATTTCCAGCCCTCGAAGCTTAATGCTGGTAAATCCATTCAGCTTTAAAGTGCCAATGACGAGTTGGCCGCTCTCTAGGTTCATCCTTTATTATTATCTTCTTCAAATAGGGGCTCTACAGGGGGTCTAAAGGGGCTTCGAAAGGGGCTTTTTTTATATAGGATGCAAACTAACCAGAATAGGCAAGCTATTTTCTATTTATAACCAGTAAGAGGCTAAAGAAATCAGCCAATCAGAAGTCTTTCTACAGGCCAAATAGTCACTTATGCTGGAATTTTTCTTGTATCAGAAACGGTAGAAAGAGAGCTGCTTCTTGCCGGCAGCTAAGGGGTTATTGTTAGTAGATAGAACAGGATAAGCAAGCAATAATCAGTATACAAACAAGGAGGAGAAAGTTCACAGGGAAACGGATATGTATGTATAAGAAACTAAAAGTGACGGCTGACTCAGCAAACGACAGGAGGTTAACTTTGGAGGCTTCTTTTATAGATTGCGGATGTTTGTTTATAGGAACAGCAAGAGACAACCCAGAGGAACAGGACAGAGTAAGTGGAAATCTGCACATTCTAGCGGCAAACCAGATGCTGACAGCGGCTACAGGACAAGAAAAGGTGAAGGAGGCTCTACTTCCCGCAGCCATGGCCTCGCCGCAGCAGCGTTATAGCCAGCACAGTGGCCAGGAGGAGCTACTTAATAGCTTCAACCAGCTCGAGATCACCACTGCTCGAAATACTCACAACCACAAAAACAACAGCAAGACTCCTTCACCATCTCTCTCGCCTCTCCAGTCTCCCTATTACAGGCCAGAGACAAGTCACAGCTACTTGAGAAACGACCAGTACGCCCGCCCACCTTCGCAGCAGCAGCAGCATCAAGAGCAACGCGCCCCTCGAAGGACCACCAGCACCACCTCCTTGCGTGACGAGAGACGCAGCTCGACACATTCACTGCAGAAACGAGCATCCATCAGCTCGCTTCGGTCGGTACAGAACCTCACAGCCTCTTCATCTTCTCCACGCCAGAGTCTCTCGCGGCGCTCGTCGGCGCAGCACCTGGCCTCATCCCCCGGCGCGTCGGGACGGCCCATCTCACCCCTCGCAGAAATGGTGTCCCCGACTTCATCAGAGATAGCCGCCCAGCATTTTGGACGGGAGCTGGCCCTTCACCAGGCTGCAGAGCTGCACTCTCGCACTGTCGTCATTATCCAGGATGCCTGTTATGGCCATCGATTCTCGCGCCCGCGCACCTCCAAGGCGGGGCTAGAACTTATAGTCGAACGACCTGAAAGAATACAAGCCTGTGTCCTCGGTCTAGCCGCTGCATACATCCGCATGAGCCATCGTTATGGCGGCAATGAGTTTGCGCCCCACCCGGACCTCGATCTACGGCGACTCCCGCCTCCTCCGTTTCAGATAAGGAAGTCTGTACGGACCATGCCCCTGAACTCGCCGGCAGTGACGCACGTTCACGGTACCAAGTGGATGGAAGAACTCCGGCTGATGTGTGACGCTGCAGAGGGAAGGCTGGCAATGAACGGTAAAGAGCTCGTTCGCCCAAGTAGCTCCGGCAAAGAGACCGGAGCCAATGCCGCCCCAGAACTACACGATCGGGATCTATACCTCTGCCCTGAATCTCTGAACGCGTTTGAAGGCGCATTGGGGGGTGTCTGCGATGCCGTTGACTCGGTATTTACATCTCCTTCGACACGCCGTGCCTTTGTCTGCATCCGGCCGCCAGGCCACCATTGCTCAAGCAGCTACCCGTCTGGTTTCTGCTGGCTCAACAACGTCCATGTTGGCATCTCTTATGCTGCTATGACGCACGGGCTCACTCACGCCGCCATCCTAGACTTCGACCTTCACCACGGTGACGGGTCACAAGCCATCGCTTGGGAACAGAACCAACGTGCTACCAATGCCGCCAAAAATGCGGCCGGGTATAAAAAGACCGCCATCGGATATTTTAGTATGCATGATATCAACTCCTACCCTTGCGAAGAGGGTGATGAAATCAAGATCCGGGGCGCCAGTGTCTGTATTGAAAATAACCACGGCCAGAATGTTTGGAACGTCCATATGGAGTCATGGAAGACGCCCCAGGAATTCTGGAAAATATACCAGACGAAATATTATACCCTGATTGAGAAGGCTCGCGCATTTTTACGAGCTCATTCACTTCAACTACGGTCTAATACTTCACTCAACGCACCCCAGCCTAAGGCTGCCATCTTCCTATCTGCAGGTTTCGATGCAAGTGAGTGGGAGGGAAGTAACATGCAGCGACACAAGGTCAATGTTCCAACAGACTTCTATGCCAAATTTACTGCCGATGTTGTCAGAATGGCACAAGAAGAAGATCTCGCCGTCGATGGAAGAGTGATCTCAGTTCTAGAAGGCGGATATAGCGACAGAGCCCTAACTAGTGGTGTCTTCAGCCATCTATCTGGTCTATCAGACTCCCCAAATTTCGAAATCAAGGATGACCAGAACGGCAGCCGGCTTGCCGCCGAAATGAGGCATCGATTGGGCCTCTCTGAAGAGACCAAGGATGAGGCTTCTGCGGATATGTATAGGGCATCTTCAACTTATGACACTATTTGGTGGGCGCCATCCTTACTTGAAGAGCTGGAGGCTCTGGTCAACCCTTCATCTACCACTCCACGGAAGCCTCGCGAGAAAGCGCAGCCCACCTTTTCTGCACCTACCCAGGCATCGGCTGCGAAGGTAATCCCCCCAAGTCAAATCCATAGATCTCCATCCTTCAATAGGACTCGTTCACGGACATCTTCTCCTACGCCACTTCCACCTCCACGAGTCGAGTGGGCCGTAGCTGCTTTTGAGCTATCCAAGGCTCTCATCCCTACCGATCGTCAGACCGCAAGTTGCCAGCATGCAGATCTAAAAGCACATACAACCCAGTCTCGTCCAGGTAGCCGTCTGGCATCTGGAGGAAGCACACTACCGCCACGCTCCAACGAGAGAAGCTCAGGCCATATGCAACTTAGAGAGAGGAAACCGAGAATACCTGCTTTACCCACAGACAGACTCGGGAGTCCCCGTTCTTCAACCCCCAGCACCCGTCGGACAACCATCGCCTCTGTTAATGACCTGCCTGACCCGAGTATGGCCGTAAATGACGGGTCTGCAAATTCGTCTTCCTACCGCCGTTCGTCGCGAAGAATCAGCCTTGCCTCCACTGCATCTGCATCTCCTGCGTCTTCTACCACAAGAATGAACATATCTAAACCTCGTGCATCCTCAAGACCTTCGCCCTCTCGAGCAAGTCAACGTGCTGAGTCACAGAACAGCACGAGCAGAGCTAGAACCGCGAGCAGCAGCCGAGCCTCTACTCCTGCTAGAAGCACCACCAAGAAACCCTGGGAGAATGCTGGCAATGTGGATAACTTGGAAGCTAGCGTGAAGAAACTGAGCATCAAGCTGAATGTTCCCAGCCCCGAAGAAAACGCAGCTCGAGAAGCCAAATTGGCCCAGGACCGGAAGAAAGATTTACTATTGGCATCACAGTCATCTAGACGCAAGCCAGCAAGCAGAACTACCTCTGGAACCAAGGTTACCTCGAATGAGGTTAACGAACGACTGGCACGCCCAAACTCCCGTTCGGCTACTGCAATTCCTACCGCTGGGAGAGCGTCTGAATCTCGAGTTGCAGCAAAAGCTGGCCAATTCAGCCCATCGCGAAACACCTCTTCTAATGCACACGCCCTACCTCCGGTCAGAGGATCAGGTCCTGCCCTATCTCACAACGGGAAAGCTACCGGCCGCGAACCCGGGTCAGCTACATCTACACCAAAAGGGACTAACAACATGCCCTCTCCACCATTGACTCCAGACGCACCCCCTGAGCCCGGAACTCCTACAATCACAGTTCGCTCACCGCCAGCTTCAGCGCATCAGCAACTACCTGTTTTCACAGCAACATCTGTTATTCCTTTTGCACCTACTGAGGACCCTCCTTCTCACTCTTAGCTCTTTGATATCTTTCTATTATTTTCTGCATCTTGCTTCACATTTTACTCTCTTTTGCTTTCTGATTTCTTCCTTCTCTTGCCTGCCCTTCAATTCCTTCCATTTCTTTCTTTTTTTTCCTTTCCCAGTATGCAGTTTAAATGTACTCTACGCTTGCTTCTGTCTACCCACGATTGACTGAAAGTTTTATCCCCCAGAACAGAACACAATACCCTACCCCTTTTGTCTGAGTCATGGCGACTGTTGGCGTTTTATTCGTTGATGTTCCCTACTTTTCGAGGTTCATGCTACAGCTTCTATTTTATCTTGCCTGTCTCGAGACTGATTAGTCCATATACCCCCTACTACATGTTGAAATACCAGTAAGACTTCAGAGCGTCCAGAAATACCCAAGCTGTACTATTCTATTCTTCTACCTTTAAACAGGAAAAAGATCGCCGCACATATTTATGTATATTTATATTTTATAATATACGCTAATATTCATAACTCTAGGACAAGCCTATACTTGTACAGAGCAATGGGTCTTATATTTATAAACCCTTTCAATCTTTTAATATCTAAGCCGCACGAAGGTGCATTTTTGTCGATTGTTGACTTTGGGGACCGTATCAAGATAGATTTTTGAGGCTGATACGAATAATACAAATACGAGCCAATGAAATCTGATTATAATGTAATTTATGGTACTGTGTCTCTGTTCCTTGATTACTAATTGCGGAACGGGGAATATTGAAACTCCGACGGAAGCGATAAGGATCAGCTGGAAGCTTCTTATCGCGATGACAAAAAAGCGACGTCAACAGGTTGCGGCCTTAGAGGTCACTTCTGTTTTATATTCTTCCTCCTTCGCTCACTAGACTCGTTATCCTAGATCCTATAGACTCGTTATCGGTTTCCTATCCACATATAGGCCTCACCATGTCGTCCTTATCTCCAGACCAGCATTCCTATACCCAGATGGCGGATCGGGACCTCGAAGACATCGGCAAACACTGCGAGTTTGAATTCTGTAGACAGCTGGATTTCCTTCCGTTCAGATGTGAATCGTGTAAGGGAACCTTCTGTCTTGACCACCGAACGGAAACGACCCATAAATGCCCCAAGGCTGGAGAATGGGCTGCTCGTCGACGAGCAGGACAGGGTACCGGCGAATCTGCGACTCTATCACCGAAACCTACGGTTTACAACTCTACACAGTGCTCTCACCCATCATGTAAGGCACTCATATATACGATGGCAAATGCCGGTGTCCACTGCCAGAACTGCAATAGGGAGTACTGTCTTTCACACCGAATGAGGGAGGACCATGACTGTAGCAACCTCACACCGCTAGGCGCTAGTCCGGCTTCAGTGGCCTTTGCATCTTCTGCGGATAAGGCGCGACAAGCATTCTCTCGCCTACGGAGCTGGGGTAAAGCCAAAACTTCAACTACTACTACTGCCGCTTCCCAGTCCTCAAAACCTAAAAAACCTTCAGCCGCATCACGAATGGCGCAGTTAAACGCCCTAAAGAAGAACGCAAAGGGCGACCCTAACTTGGACACATCCAAGCGGTTCTATCTTCACGTCGAGGCCTCTGCTGATACTACGACGGCTAAATACCCTACCGGAGATTTTTACTTTGACGTCGGATGGAGTGTTGGCAAGATATTAGACGATGCAGCGCGGAGGTTACAGGTACAGAATGTCAATAACCGTTCTGCTGGGGAAGAAAACCGGTTAAGGATATTCCACGTCGAGGGAGGCAAGCTGTTGGATTTCTCCAACAAGATTGGCAGCTGCTCCGTGTCCCAGGGTGATACCATTGTTCTTCTCAGAGGAGTCGGCCCGCCAGTTCCTGACTTGATTGAGATGTAGAACCATGATTTCCTTGCACTTAATAGAGCCTCTTCTTTTCGTACCTATACTTGCATTGGTGTTTGGGCGTGACAGGGCTTTATATGATAATATAATTCTAATGCGCATACAATCCATTCATAGCATATTATCCATGCTCTAATACCAAGAATTTTATGCATTCTATGTCATCATACGCTCATCTTCATCTTAATCAGCTTATGAGGTTTATAGTCCAGAACTTCAAAATCAGAGTCCTTCCAGCCATCCATCTCACCGGATCCCTGGTCAGTACGATTGATCTTAAGTGTAGGGAAATCGGTTGGTTCCCGGGTAAGCTGTTCTTGTAGAGCTTCGATATGGTCAAGGTACACATGTGCATCTCCCATGGTATGAATAAAAGTCCCGGGGTGCAAATCTGCTGCGTGAGCAAACATGTGCGTCAACAGCGCATATGATGCGATGTTGAAAGGCACTCCCAAACCCATGTCACACGACCTCTGGTATAACACACACGACAACGTGCCCTTCCCTCTCTCATCTCCTTCCTTCTGAGGGGGGAACGACACGTAGAACTGTGCGAACATATGGCACGGCGGGAGAGCCATCTTCTTCAGGTCGGCCGGGTTCCAGGCACTTAGAATGATACGCCTATCATATGGCGACTCCTTCAATTTCCTGACAACCTCAGCAACCTGATCGACTCCTTTCCCAGCATAATCTGTTTTTGCATCGACATACTCCGCACCAAAATGGCGCCATTGAAAACCATATACAGGCCCCAAATCACCAACTTCACGATGTGACAAGCCGACACTGTCAAGAAACTCTCGGCTGCCGTTGCCATCCCAGATCTTTATTCCAGCTTCACTTAGCGGCAGCGAAGATGTGCAACCTGACACAAACCACAGTAGCTCTGCGATAACTGCGCGTAGAAAGACGCGCTTGGTGGTCAGGAGGGGCAGAACGGGGACGGGATCTGGGTTTGACGGGTCAGACGACGGTTTGGAGAGCGAGAAGCGAAGCTGCGGTGGTGCGAAGATAGACCGAGTGCCTGTTCCTGTGCGGTCTGGACGATGCTCGCCTGTGCTGATAATAGTGCGGATGAGGTTGAGATATTGATGCTCTTCGTGAGTGGGGTCGTAAGCCGGTGTGGGTGAAGGCGAAGGTCCCTCTGGCTGTTGCGGCGCGTTGAGGGCAACGTTAGAATCTGATGGAGTGATATCCATGTTGCCGTTTGTCCTAATCACAGTATCCGTGTTTCCTTGTCGGTGTAGTAAGGACGTTTGTAGGTGTTGATGGTGGGGAGCGAAATATCAATATAACTATTTAATTAACTACCGACGTACTCGGACGAAGGTGGAAGTCCTTATAAATAATCAAGGTAAGGTTGTCCATAACAGGTTCCCCCTCTGGATAGCCGCGTATAAAGAGGAAACATCGTAATGGGTTCGACTGACGGAGAAAATAACATCTGATACTTGCTGGGCTTTTGCCAGAATGTGCTGGCAAGCCGGCGTTCCCGTATCTCGTCCCTAACTCGATATCGGTGCCAGGGGGATGGTGACGGTCGCGATTGGCCCAATCTTGCGAACCAGAGTCTCAGGAGCTTATCACCCATTGGACGCATGGCATGTTTTCCAAAAGATTGATCAACAAGAAATGAGTGATAACAACTCCTCGCCGTTAGTCTGAAAACGCTGACAGTATTATACACATTAGCCTGACGCGGCTGAGGAATATAAAATATCGTTGGATCGACTTTGTATAAGACAGAAGTTGAATTATTATTATCGCTTTCTTGAACAGTTCTTTGGCGCACACTACCTAATCGCGTCTATCTCACCCGATTACGCCGACAGTCCTAAAGATACTTCCTGTGCGGTTTCCAGGCTCTCTAGCTTCTATGCTTGCCTCCGCTCCGTGTGCGATCGGCCTGCTCAATGTCCCTTGCCGCTCTATGAGCTATGGCATAAACAACTCCCTGGGGATGACAAGTCGATGGAGTTGGAAAGGTGCTGGAACCAACCACGCGAATACCTCGTAGGCCCTTAAGCCTCCAGTTAGAGTCAAGTGCTTTACCCAGGGCTATAGTTCCTACAGGGTGGTGAAACGAGAATGATTGCTGCTGGATTGCCGCCCAGATATCCTCGTCAGTTGTCACATTCGATCCTGGGTACCATTCCCGTATAACTACAGACTTGAGCTCATCCGATGCCATGATCTCGCGAAGCTTCTTGTATGACCAGAGGACCGCTGCCTTGTCGGCATCAGAGCCATAGTAGTTGGAGAATATTAGAGGATCATCACGGTAATCGGCGGACTTCAGCGTTACGTAGCCAGGGGCTTCTGGCTGCACGAGACTTGCCCAACCTGTGATGACGCTAATATTTGGTGTGCCTGAGTGGAATGGTACCGTGCTAAATTCTATCAGGGCCTGTGGACGGTCTGCAGGGAGGGAGGTATAGTGCGTGCCATTCACATCCTTAAACACGGAGTCTGGGATACGGAATCCAGCATGCACAAACCCGTTGTTCCATCCTAATGGCCCGGATGCAGATTCTTTATACTGCTTCTCAGCTAATGCTTTCTGTGTGGCGTTTTGGAACCATTGCCATACGGTTAATACGTCGGGTGTAACCTCAGCCTCGATAATGGGGAACTGGTGATCATAGAGGTTGGTTCCAACTTCGGGTATATTAGCAACGATGGGGATACCCAATTCTAACAACCTCTTCTTTGGTCCAATACCAGAGAGCATTAACAGTTTTGGAGAGTTTATGGCGCCGGAGCTAATAATAATCTCTATAGCCTCCAGGGTTTTCTTTTTATTGGTCGAGGTATTAATATAGGTGACATTCACAGCTGTTTGCCCCGAGAATCCAATATTGTAGACCCAAGCATTGTGTATCAATTCCACGTTCTGTCGCCCTTGCATACGGGATCCAAACGTGTTTCGTGGGTACGATCTGGTACGATCAGAGACTCGAATTGTCGCCACACCCCTGTCGATCCCAATTCCGGTACCATCTGTCTGGTCTACTTCCCCCATATTAAGGCCACGCTCAACGGCCTTGACAAATGGTGCCTCGAAACCGGTTAAACCGCTCATGCGGCTGACTTCCAATGGGCCATCTCCATAACCTGTGGTATTGACAAATAGCTCATAGTCCGCGGGCTGATGGGTATAATGGGTGGTTGCTTTGAAGTCCTCAATCAGGGAGCCCCATGCTAGATTCGGATTTTTTGACACAGCTGCCCATTCATCAAAGACTGAAGCTGCACCGCGGCAGTATGCCATGCCGTTGACAGCTGAACCGCCCCCAAATCCGCGGCCCTGCCTTAGCCCCGGTGCTCGACCGCCCAAGTTGACATCTGGTTGTGAAGTATAGTTCCAAAAGTACTCGTGAATCAGGGGATAATAGGCGGGAACTATGTCTCAGTTATTAGAGATTTGACATTCGATCAGTTAGAGAGGGGCCAAATACCGCTGACCAGGTTCAAATGAATGGTCTCAGGTCCAGCTTCGAGAAGCACAATTTTTCTAAGCGGATTTCGAGAGAGCTTCTCTGCAAGCACAAAGCCCGCAGGTCCTCCGCCTACAATTATGTAGTCCGCCTTGCGTGAGGCAAAATCCTCAAGCGCTACCGTTGCTGAGGCCACGGCGAAGGCCAGCAAAATTTTGAGTAGAAATTGTGCGCTTCCCATTGCAGCCCAGTAGAAAAGTACTGTAGCGAAGCAGCTATTGACATACCAAGGTATCGTCGCCTTTGACTGGCGTATCTTGAAAATTATCTTCCATTCTCACCATGAAGGTAATTTTATACCCTATATATACTTCAACAAGCGGCTTACATTCTACTAGATTGGATATTTCGGGGAGTTGATTATATGCCGCCCTCACCCACGAGGCTACATCTAGTGCACGGCTAAATCCTAAGGGCGACAGTTAGCTTTCCCCGTAACTCTCTTTCTCGGGTACCGATCTGTTGCATCGGAAATTGGTTGTCGGGGATGGTTGGCGCTGCTAGAGTACCAAAGTGCAAGATATGGGAGATTCTGGCCGAAGGGGGCTTCCGCCAGTGAACATTCTATGCATAACGCCACGTTATTCGACCATATTTCTCCGAGATCACCGCCCCCGAAGGTGCATATTTAACGTGAGTTACCAGCATTACACCGCATGGCACGGCGCTGGGATTAAACAAAAATAGCATTGGTAACATTAGTTCCTTTTTAGGGATGTGGATGGTGCTAATGTAAGGGGTTTGAAACTAATATTGAACCACCATGTGTCCAAGGGATATACCTAGGTTTTAAGTCGTTATACTAGTTAGGTGGAAACCATGCGCTAAATAATTCTGAAAATTACGAATTGATAGTGGTATAGTAGCCTAAATTTTTAGACTTATGAATTGATATTATCAAGGCTAGGAGCAAGGGGTTGGAGTGGACATAAGCTCTATATATCTGTACATGATCAACAAGCCATTACATGACCAGCAAAACAGAACACTGTAAAAACACGCGATGCCTCATCATATACTCAGACACCTGATTCATCTAGCGGCCCAGCGGTGATATTTAAAGAATCATAATACTTATTCCACTGAGTGCAGCGACGAGCTAGTTCCGGCAACACGCCCGCTCGCCGTGCAAGCTGTTTAATCTCTTTTGGTTGTTCAATGTATTGCAGCGCAAGTCCACCGCTGGCGTGCCATGCGATATGGCAGTGCAGTAGCCAAGGCCCGGGGTTATCGATTTTAAAGGCAATCCACAGGTATCCTCCAATCGGGCAATTAGCGACATCCCTTCTCGGCGGATTGTCGAGCTGCGGAACTACATCGTGCGTAAATTCGCCTTTGCCCTGGGCGAGGACGACAAAGTCATGCCCGTGCAAATGGATGGGATGGACAGAACGTGGGATGGTTCTGGCTATCTCATCGGAAGCAGTGTGGTTGTTGACAATGGCGACATAGACCCATTCACCTGTCTCGTAGTCCAGGACGATTGGTTGGGTAGCGGGCGGAAACTCTGGTGTCTTGTCTATGGCGAGCTTTTTGATACTTGGAGATCCCCAGTCAATACTCATAGTTCTATTGGCGAGGACCCATTTGTGGATTCGGGAATCGGGGTCGGAGATGTTCGGATAGCCTTGCAAGCCAATCTTCAGGTAGTCTGCGGGTTCCATGCCATTCACTCGTTTTCCAACTTGTGCTGGAATGATGGGGACAAGATTCTGTGGCGCTGGGTCTTCGCAACCGAAGCCGTAATGTTGCTCATCCACACCCGGGGTATACGGATCACTTGTACTAGTATTATCATAACGAATGATACCAAGCTTAGATTCCCATGTATCGTCATCGCAGTAATTGGCGTGGATCCAAAAGTCTGACCCATGGGTGAAGGTCGCGTTGGCTTCAATAATGATATCGTACCGTTGCCCTAGAGAAATATTAGTTCATGTCCCTTGTCATTCTAGATTCGAAAAAGGGTGGTTACCTATGCCAAGGGTCAAAACATCGGTAGTATAGGGTTTAACTGGGACAAAATCGTTGGCGATGACAGTGAAATTGTGCCCATCGATCCAAAATTTATAGGTCAAAAGACTGCCAGTGTTCACAAGCCCCGTTCGAAAGTAGTTTCATGTCGTTGTTGCTTACCCGTACACCGGGGTCTTCGTTCATATCGCAGTCAAATATACCTTTTCCATTCATAATATTTGAATTTGGGATGGGTGCACGGGTTGTCAGAACCTCTATAGGAAACAAGGAGAACGCATCCTCATGGTACCAGTCACCCATAAGCAATGGGCCCAGGTCAACATCATAATTCATGCTGCTCGGGCCTCTGATTTGCATGGCCCCTGTGATTATTGTTAGCCGGGTAGTCACTGTAATAAAAGCTGGCGGGCACCGTACCAAAACCACCATTGGTGTCTATAGAACTAGGGTTAGCAACTTGGCAGCAGAGTGGTAGGAAAGGGAGGACGCACACTGCAAACTAAAATGAGAATGGTACCACGAAGTTCCATACTGCATAGCCTTGAATTCATAAACCTGCGAGGACCCTGGCTGCACAGGGGATTAGCGGCCTTAGAATATACAGTAAAAGGAGGGAGTAGGCGTACCGGGACAGGGCATTGAGTAACACCAGGGACTCCATCCTGCCAGTTAGTCAAAAGCTGACGGATACCGTGCCAATGAATAGCGCTTCCATTGCCATTTGTTAAATTGTTGTGGAGTGTGATTCCTAAGAGAACCGGTGAGAAATTGCAGCCCGTGAGAGATGACTAAAAAGGTGACTTACGAAGAGTATCACCCCAATCAGCCACGATGGTTGGACCAGGAAACTGCCCTATGTGAGAGAACCAGGTGAGCCGCTGTGATCCAGGGCCAGGTATGTTGCAGGCCTCCCACATGTACTAACCATTAATGACCACAGCGTCCTTAAGGTAGCCGTCAGGGGAGATGACCTGGTTGGAGACGGTCAAGTTGTACTGAGGAGACAATGTTAAAATCAACCAGCATAATCCTGGGAGAGAAGAGAAGAGGCTTACCTCCACAAGCTTGCCCCGGGGAGCTGTTTGGCCGTAGTCAGTATTGATATCAAAGCCCTTGCTCCAGCAATGCCGAGTCTCAGGGGTGTTGACACAGCCATGCGCTTCACTACTGCCCACCACCAACAGCAGGCTGAGACACCAGTTCCGGACCTGTCTAATGGTCAGCATCTTTCTCTCTCGCCTTCTCTTCTCTTGCAGGATACGAGCCAAGGGACGAAAATACTTCAAGAGCCATGCGGATCTCGATTGGAGATTCATTTATAAGAAGGATGATAAATGTCGGACCCCGACAAAGCTGCAGGGCCGTTTCGTGTTACTGCTCCCCAATATCGAAGGACTGCTGGCTATTCATTGGATAGCACGGCGTACGGGGCCCCGACGGCGTCGACATCTCTGGCTTTGAAGTCGCGAGATAGTTAAGGACCCATCCCGGTTCGAGGCTGAAGTGTCGGCAAAACTGTCTGTTCATCGGGATTGACAATGCACGAGAGATGTCTGGACAGCAATTCTCGCCCAGGATAGCTACCCTCGCTACGGGGAAGCCAGAGGAGAATAAAATGCGGCTAGAGGAGACCTGGCTGAGACGGCTGGCAGAGAAGAGAAGAATTTACCGGAGAAGCCAACACCATGTCCTCAAACACTTCTACCAAGCTCGAAACGCCCTTTACCACAGCTGCTATTGGCACTGATGTCGCATTCTGGCGGTCGTATATCGCGTCCCGCCCGACGCCCCCTGAAGACTTCTTCCAGTTCATCAACGCCTACCACGCGAGCCACGGCGATTCCACCTCTGCAGTGCACCTTTCTCCTCCCTTTCAAGGGGACTCCTGGGGAACCCTTCCACAGACGCGGTGCAGAGGGGTTGTCGAGCTACCTAGACAACATAGCGGTCCCCGCAGCGGAGTGGGAGAATGTGCAGCGACACAAGTGGAATTGCGGCCACCCGCTGCTCTTCAACAGCACGGAGGGGTTTGATTTCGAAGTGGTGCCCGTGGACCGACGGGCTGAGGGAGAGAAGACGACAGAGGTGATTGATCGCGAGTTCTGGGCGGAAGAATGGGACGTCGAGCGCACCAAGGCCTACATAGACTCAGTCTACCCCAACTACCGCACCGCGGCAGGGGAGAGGTACGCAGAGCTCGAGGCGATGCTTGAGGAGCTGCGGGAGGCGATGGGCGGCGGAAACTCCAGGAGAAAGGTCAGCTTCCCCGTCGTGCTGATTCTCGCGACGAGGAAGTAAAGTGTGCCATGGTAATCTCGGACGGGGGGAGATGCGGGTATGCGGTCAGCTACGAGATACTGGTTACTCTTCCGACGGGCTGTATCTCTCCGGCTTTTTCCATATTTAGTTAAGTAGTCGAGACTACAATATAGTGACAGTATGGAGTACATGGATGGCGACGATCTCGGGGAAGGCTCGCCCACTCGAATGTGGTAGAATAAATACATCCCTACTATGTAGTACCATGTAGTTATTATAAAGTTATGTAGAGACGATGTATGACATTTAGCTGCAACTCTGCCAGGGGTAACAACAAGTTAGTATCGGGGGAAGTAATAGTAAATTACACAGCCAAAGTAGACTTCCGTGGGCTTCAACCCCTGCTATACTGTTCCACAGCGGGTCACTCAGCGAAGTCCTACAATAACGAGGGAGGCGCGCTACTTAAGGCCTCCATATGTATGTGTATGCGTGCGGAGGCGCAACTGAGAGCTAAGTTGGGAAGCAGTTTTTGCTTTGTCTTGCTACCAACATCAGCCTTCCCTTGACCTCGACACAACCCCCAACCGACGGGGCTGAGATGTGCGCTATGTCGCCTGCATGCATCTCGGGGAGCGATGAAAGGCTAGGATTGTAGGCGTTAACTCCCCCTGCCGGTTCGTGAAAGCTGGTGTCTGATGGCTGGGGCCATGCTCAATATCGGACATTAGGGACTTAGGCAACTGGAATTAATGGAGATACAGGACTTAGCCAGACATGATTGGAAATATAGAAACCCGGGACATCTCGCTCAAATTCCTCGAAATTTCAACACGAACGACCGAACTACCCCGAAGACACAAATCCCTAAGAACAAACACTAAACACAATGGCTGGCCGCGCTGCTCCCCCACCCAAGAGCCTCTTGGGCAGGCACCGCCTCCTTGCCCCAACGGCGTCTGTCCGTGTTAGCCCAATCTCCCTAGGCGGCATGAGTAAGTCATGATACCTCGCGCTAAAAGGTAGCAACTATCACTACATATGGCTGACCTTGGGCAGGCTTAGGTGACACCTGGAAGGGAATGATGGGCGAATGCTCCAAGGAGACGGCCTTTGAGCTCCTGGATACCTACTATGACCTTGGAGGGAACTTTATTGATACCGCTAATGCATACCAAGGTGGCCAGAGCGAAGCCTGGATTGGTGAATGGCTTCAAAAATCTGGCCACCGCGATGAGATGGTCATTGCTACCAAATATACCTTGAGCCCAATGGCTGGTAAGCAAGTGCAACAGAGCAATTATGGTGGAACTGGCACCAAGAGCATGAATATCGCACTTGAGATGAGTCTCAAGAATCTCCAGACCAGCTACATTGATATTGTATGCTTATTCCCCCCCCCCCCTCCTTTACTATAATATGTGAATACTAATCTCTTAAAGTACTACGTCCATGCTTGGGACTATGCAACTCAGATCCCAGAGTTAATGCAATCCCTTAACAACCTGATCCGTCAGGGTAAAGTGTTATACCTAGGGATTAGTGACACCCCTGCCTGGGTGGTATCGAAGGCCAATGCCTACGCTCGCGAAAATGGCCTACGCCCATTCTCTGTTTACCAGGGTCGCTACTCTGCGTTGGTGCGCGATTTGGAGCGTGATATTATTCCCATGTGCCGCGACGAAGGCATGGCTATACACCCTTGGGGTGTGCTTGGTAGCGGTATGTACTTTTATATGTCTGCCTCCTCTAGGTGTTCGTTCATACTTACAGCCGTATATAGGATATATCAGATCACCCGATGTCCCTCCAAAGGTTGGAGGCCGCCAAACCCCCCACGTCATGACTGGCCGTGAAGAAAAAGTATCCGCTGTCTTAGACGTTATTGCAAAGCGCCATAACGTTCCTATTACTACTGTTGCCCTCTCATATGCTATGCAGAAGGTATTCTACTATCTATTCATACCGTTCTAGTACTATGTAAACTAATTATTTCGTTGCCATAGGCGCCATATATTTTCCCAATGGTTGGAGGCAACAATGTCGAGAATCTCAAGGCAAATGTCGAGGCCCTAGCTCTAGAGCTTACCCCTGAAGATATTGCAGAGATTAACAAGGCCTACGAGTTTGACCTTGGCTTCCCTCATAATTTCCTTAATGGGGCTGGATTCATGGGTGAAGGGCCTCAGCATGTTAGCTTCCTCAATGGCCTTGGCCATTTTGACTATGTAGCAGGTCCCAAGGCGGTCAAGCCCCACCAAGGAGAGCTTAACACTGCCTGGAAGACATAGATTATGAACATAGGGACAGACCTTGTTAATGGAATTTACCGTATGAATATATTCAGCAGATATGAAATTTGAATGCTCAATCAAACTTTCGCAACATAATTTCGTCTGGTAATTTTTTAATGTCAGCAGGATAGAAATAGTTTTGTCGGGTCGCTGGCTGATCCAAGAACTGCATGTCAAGGCTTACGCCTTCCTGCTAAAGGTATGAGTAAGAGTATTGCCAGTTTAATAATATGATTAGCGTTCTATTCACGTCACGTCTCCTGAGATGACTAACTCCTACCACCCATAATCGAATATGCCAATCATAAATGCGTTTCAAAGTTGGTATCTTTCTGCCGTGGGATAGTCGTTATATTAGATAAGTTGCCCAACTACTTATTTACAAACTTGCTTCTCATAAACCTAACCTATATTAATCCTGTAACTAACCACCATCGACACACGGTCTCCAGGCTAGCATCAAGGCCCCGATTTTGGAAGATAAGAGTGTAAACTTGGAAAGTAATGACTCAAAAGCCCAGATAATATACATAAGGGGGTCCCCGCAGGGAATTTTGCACTTCCTCCAGTATTTACTACGCTGACATTCCTCATATCATATCGATTGTCAGGATCGTTTGCTGCCTCAACCATTGCTCCAGCTAAACCCAGGTATGCGATGAAGGAGTTTTCCTCGTCAAAATCGAGCTTGTGGCCCCTCGCTTTATCCACAGCCAAACCACCTGGCTTTATGAAGATTGTTGAGATCCAATCTTCCTGGGAGCGGAGAAACTTCTCCTGTACTCTAAGGTCCTCGTAGACATAAGAGCCCGCCCGTATCATGATGGGGTGAAACCACCACGGCATCTTACGAGAAAGATGGGGATCAATTGTTGTGGATGACAAAACGACCAACTTCGGCATGATCGGAGACGGGTCGGTTTCCGTTTTAATTCCTTTGAGTGCAGTGATGAGACTGCGGGCGGTATCCTGGGCAACGCAGCAGCCAGGCAGGTTTTCGTTCATAGTGACAACGAGGAAAGCAGCTCGACAATTGCGAACACATTGGGCCAGTAATTCAACATTGTGGACTCCTCCTTCAAAGACTTCCACCCGGTCGTTTCCCACCACTTCAGGTAATTTGTGATGAAGCTTGGCCTTGTTGCGACAATATGCGTGAATTCTGGTATCTGAAGACTGGAGGAGGACTTGAACGAGAGAACTACCGCAGTTGCCAGTGACACCGAGTACTGCGTAAGTTGAAACCATTTTTCAAGTAGATTTGCCGTTTTCTCTACCTCTCATGAAACATCCGCTCACTACACCTTATTTATAAACGCTTCGTTCACTGCTAAAAGACAGGGTATAGAAACTCCTGCGGAGCGCCTAAATATTCTTTCCTTCCATATTTCGAGAGGAGTCCCGGAAGCCTTGCTGGAGTATCGGAATCCGAGTGCGAGTGGGTAGGTGAATTGGGTTAATTGAGCTAATGATCTCGTTAGTTACAACCCAGCCCACGCTTACCAAGCTTTGCGGCCGCTAACGCTAGCCGTGTGCTCACTCATTGGCGAGAGGCTCGGGGATCGGCCTCAGGGATCGGGGCTCGTGGCTCGGTAGTTAGCCAAGCCAACTGCATCCCCGGCCGCCAAGCTGAGATTTATCTCGAAAACGTTAGCATCGCGCAGGGCTTTCCCCGAACAACTGCTAGAATGCGAAAAGATTGCGGCGTAAGATGAGAAAAATAAAATACAAGGCAACATGCTTAATCAGACGGTGAAGGCGTGCGAGGCCGGGACCTTTACTAAACAACAATGGGTGACGGCAGACTTTTACATGATAGGTAAATTTACGTAGTTAATCCCATACTAACTCGTTCGTTAGGTATTATTATGTATTCACTATACTTGGATGACCGAGGTACAGCATCAGTCTTCATTGTACTATCCTGACACAAAGTATCTCCCGGCCCATAGTATATCTCACAGCATCGGTTTAGATCTGGTTCAACATACCCCATATGCCTATAATTGCCCCTGTCAGAGGAAAGAGAGCCCGTGTGGTATGCATCGCTGTCCATGTGGTGACCAGAGCCAGTGCCTCATCCCATTCTACTACCTGCCCGGCTTTACACGCCTCCTGGGCTGCATTTAGGGTATTAATTATCGGCTGAATAATGGTCCAGGTAAACGGGAGCATCGTAAGTGTCGTCAGGGCAGCAGCTGCAAATACGCCCCACGGGCGGCCGGCGGAACGTTTGCGGAATGCCGCATATGCGTACAGGCCGCATGTCGCGATAGAAATACCAGGAAGAACTCGGTGCCCATAGTGGTACACACGGACCCACTGATTGATCAGTTGTGAAGGCTGGTCCGTAGTGTCGATGAGGACGGGAATTGCCAGCATCGAGATATTCATCATGGCCCCTGAGGACACAGCGGGTCAGATTAGCTCAAAAATGGGTCGTTGGACGAGAAGCAATAATGTACCTGCTAGGAAGCTGCCGGTCACCACAGCAGTCGCCTCAGGCCGAATCACGGAAGATGAATGCGGCATCTTTAGGATAAGAACGCAGACAGGTTTAGTTGGTCTCTCAAAAATGAATGTATTTGTACTGACTGAATGAACAGAGAATTCGCCTTTTTTCACTGGGCACTATATAGTAGATCCATCGGATAATCCTCAATTTAACAATGGCACCACCAGCGGAATTGCAAGGAGCTAGTTTCTTCTTCCGGTGGATAACTTCATCCCGAACAGCGGAGAGCAAGCGCTGCTCCGTGCCAATATTCCGAATATGCGCGTCCACTAGCCCGTGAAACTGTCGGTTTCTACTCGGTCCTTTACAAAATCTTCAACCCATCCAATCGTCATCCTAGGACTAAGTAAATATCTCCTTCCTCAATTCACCTGGTTAAATCCAACGAGCAAGATAAGAAACTTACATGCTCCTTTTCGTATCTGCAAAATTCTCATGATCGCCCATCAATTTCTCTTTATACCATGGATCTTGCTTCATCCTTTTATAGTCATCAAGACTTTTGAATATGGCCTGACTAAAGCAATCGATATCGGTCACATTTGAGAATTGCGGGTCGTAAAGCTTGGCCATTAGTGCCCGCGTGGCGCTCGTGTTGTGGATCTTTATTCCCAGGCTTGCGATAACCGCATATAGTCAAGCAGAGAAATTTCCCATCCGATGGTTTGGAATCTGCGGCATCTTGGGGCGGGGATTCCATGGCGAAAGCAGAAATAAAAGCGGAGCTCTTGATTTGTCCTTTTGTTTGACTCCCAGGGGGGAATAAGCTGGATCTTGCATGAAGAAACAAGAGTTGCGACGAAGGAGATTAAAAAGGATAGATCTAAGACGGGGTGTAAAGAGCAAAACAATGTCCCGAGGCTTCAGCTCCTTTGCCGTAGCGCTGACCGAGAATTAGGGCTTCGGGAAGGGATTTTGCTATCGTTGCCTCGGGCTGGTAGCCAAATCCCGAGGAAAGGGGGGCCATTCCTTTCGGAGTAATAGTGCAGCGTGGGTGACCTGTCCTCCGACGCTAGAAGAACTACAGCTATAGCATACTCAGGTAGCGAGACAAGTCGGTGGTTTGGTATTTCACGATCCAACATGGTCGTTGAACAAGTATGAGGATGGAGATAGCTTAGTCATAGACTAACGCTCCAATTTGGCCAACGTAAAAAAATCGCCAACGTCGTTTGAATAACTGCTAGCTAGTCGACACGAAACCACTTCTTCTCTCCAGCCCTAATTTCAAAAGCTACCCTTCCATCTTCTGCTAACTTCCTGAGGACTTCGTCTATGAATGGCTCTAGAGCCTTTTCTCTTAACTGTTTTGCCAGATTCTCGCCGTATATGGCTAACACCAGTTCTTTGAGAGTCGCGCTACCGATCTTCCGCCGTCCTACACTAACTTCCTGGCGCTTAATGGAAGCCAAGGTTTCCAACACCCGCTGTTCGCGCTTCTGCTTCTGCGCTAGCTCACCTGCAATCTTGGTAGGAAGATTTTTGATCACCTCACCATGTGCGGGGTACCCTGTAGAGCAGTTATGCGCAAGCATCTTGCGTAGAGACGACATATAGATGCTGAGTTCTTCCACTGCGCTGGTGCCGTGGCCGAGGATATTGTCCCCTGTGAACATGGCATTCTCCTCTTCAAGGATGAAGCACGTGTGGTCATGGGAGTGGCCCGGAGAATGTACCGCGCGAATCGTGGCCCCCTCCACCCGAAACACCTCACCGTCCGCAATTGGCTGTTGGTTCTTGCCCGGGGAATTTATGTAAATTGCCTTTGAGAGGTCGGGGTAGAGGCGCAGGAGATCGGGAACACCGCCGATGTGATCGCCGTGCCAGTGGGTTAATAACACATGGGATAGGAAGATCGAGTACTTCGCCATGGTGGAGGAGACCAGCTCCGCCCATTCAGGGATCCCTTGGCCGGTGTCAATGATCAGCCGCTGTCGACCTGTGCCGACAATATAGGTGTTTGTGCCCTGAAGCGTGAACTAGGTGATCATTAGGTTCTGAACTCATAACGCCAGCAACCTGCACTCTCGGATCATGCACTTTACCTGTCCTGCATTTTGGCCAAGTATGCGCACCACGCGAGGGCTAAGCTGCTCTACATCCGCCAAATCTGGCAGACGTGACTGTTGTGCAGCGAGATAGTCATTGAAAACGCAAATATTTAGGGCCTTGTTGATTTGGCGGTAGCCTCCCTGGCCCATGTTGAAATATCTAGAGAATATTCACTCTCCGGGGAAAAGTGGAAGTAGGTGACACTTGGGGGATAAATGTGCTGAGCGGGATAATATCATGAAGCGGACTCGGCCATTTCTTGACCTGATAAGCCAAGTCTGTCTAAGTAGCATAATACCTCGACGGGGCGGGTTTCGATCCGAGTTCCACGCCCTTTCATCCCCGAGCGTGTCCCAACCCCGAAGACCTCGAGGCTCAGCCTCACTACGGAAGTTGTGTACTCTGCAGCGAGCTGACAGCTGCGGATACCGAGCTAATCCTTCGGGAATAGCCTCCACTACGGGCCCGTCTACCCTCCACGCAAACCTCAGTAGGCCTGATTGGAAGGAATATCCGATGGATAGCATACCAAGCTTCACCCAAAAAGGGCTTGATTTCCATTCCATTCACGCACTATCCTATTTCACGAAACCTATCCTCGGCGGGCCCTAGGACATCGTGGATTCCCCTATCTCGGGTTGGGACTATCTACATACTGTAATAGTAACCCAGGGAATGGTAAGGATCCGAAATAACAAACCTACTAATAAGTGCAGCACAGTTTGGATGATAATAACATCTTATCTTATCAGATTAGATGGTCAAACCAGATTAGGTTCGTCAACGAACCTTAATTGCATTAGAGTTAGGAAGCAAAATGGCGAGTGAATCCCTCTTACATGCTCCGCTTGCTGATCGGTGTAGGGGTCTTACAGGTCTCAGTAACCGTGAAAGAGCTACAAAGGTCTAACCTAAGAGTATAGAGTTTGTTTTTTAAAAGCTAATTTGTATATGCGATAACTTGCTTTGGCATTGAGTAACCCTGAGTGGTCATGTCGCAGGTGGCAACTGTGACTGTAGTACAGCAGGGCAATGTGAGGAGATCGGGGATGGAACATGGCATTGCACTGAAGGGCACCCTGTGGTAGCGTAGTGCAGCCCATGAATTTCCCTCCAGGTTTCGGTGGCCACAGTGTACTCATCACATTAGCGCTAAAGGCAATGGCTATAAAGCTCTAACCCTTCCCTTTACAAGAATGTTTTTAAAGGCCCCAAACCCAAGCAAGAAAAAGCTCGTCAACATGAAATTTACCGCTTTCCTCATTGCTATCGCCGCCTTTTCTGGAGTGACAATGGCCGTAAGTTGCTATCCTGGGGAGTGAGATCCATTCTCGGAATATATATAGAGAGACCTGGTAGCTGACCGGGTACTCAATGCGCCCGAGTTTAGGATTACAACACGGTAAGCAGCAATCGACCTTTGCATTGAAAGGGCATATGTTGCTTCAATACTGATACGTATTGTATAGTACAAACGCTGTATTGTGGATCACTGTGCTGGTCCTGGTGCAACTGGCGAAGCCACGGCATTTTGCATGGTAAATACTCTCTCTCCCTCAATTCGAAACACTTGGCTAATACTTTCTTGTAGCTGAGATGTGCCAAAGAGGTGAATTACACGAATATTCCGTCGTTCATGACGAGGTGGCACGCTAATAAAGAATTGCTTATAGAACTAATGAGAGCAATGAATGTCCAATATCATCGCTTTGCTCAAGTTGGTTATTCGCTGCTGAGGAATCTCTGGACGCTCTTATAGATTTCAGCTCTCAGATATTGGGTATCAACTATATATCCGTATTCAGAAGGGTCTGGTATAGATGTTCCAACGTGTGTGTATAATAAAGTGAATGAAGGGCGATAGACAGCAACTAGCATTAAAACGCTTTGCATTTCCAAAATGTCAGCAGTGTATATGTTGAGCTAAAGGATATTAAGTGTTCAAACCCATTCTATTCCATTAAATCCACTCCAACTCCACGGAGTGCAACGACTGCCCATTGAGGTATCTCTGATTTCTCCCCGTATAAGTTTCCGAAGAACTCTTTTAAAAACTGAGGATATCTATCTTCTAGAATTGCCTGTCTAGCCGAGTCCATTAATGCAAGTAGATAATGAACGTTATGCATGGTTATACTGTTAGGGTAGTTAGTAAGAAGCACAAAGGGAAAAAAGAAGAATATGTTGCACACGTACAAGTGTGCTCCAACGGTCTCTTTTGCCGCAAGGTGGTGCAGATATGCTCGAGTAATACCAAGCCCGCCTTGCTCTTTAGGCCGACAGGTCTTGCATTGGCAGTTTTCATCTATCGGTCTAAAATCACGGGAAAACCCGGCACGTCGAAGGCCCAAAGTACCGTAAGGTGTCAAGGCGTTCCCAAAACGCTGCATCCTGAGTCAGTTTTGCTGTAGATCTCACGGGAAAATAAAAAATGCGTGTCTTACAGCTGTCCGAGTTGGGAACACGCAGTCAAACATGTCGGCACCTAGAGCAACAGCTACTACTAGATCTTCTTGGTATCCCTGAAAGACGTTAGACAGAAGTTACCTTGGGGTTGTCAAAAAACCGGAAAAACACTTACCACACCCATAACATATCGAGGCTTATTTGTCGGTAACATATCAGTACAAGCGTCAACCCTGTTCATATCCCCTAGTTAGATGGGCCATCATCACATCTAAGACAAAGTTGACGACGGGGCAATCGAACACTTTACAGAATTCATCTTTCGCCTCCCCTCCAGACAGCCCGCCAATTGCGATTCCGGGCGTATCCCGTGCCACCATTTCCTCGCAGCACTGACGGCGCATTTCCAGGTCAAGTCCTCCCTGGATTATACAGAAAAGGTTTTGTCTTTCAGGGTATTTATGTGCATCTATGCACCTGTCCAGCCATCGTACCGATCTTTCCATTGCCTCTTGCATCCTTGCATGATCCGGGGATGTCGTAGCAATGACATCATCTAATTGCATGATTATGTCCGAGCCTATTGAGTTCTGTAGAGATATAGAGTGTTCAGGTGTGAGTAACCTATCCAGTCGATCAGCGCTCATCCAACGAGACAGAAGTCTCTAGAAGTTCAACGGGTGAAGTGCAAGGGCGTACATTGGTGATCCATCGTGCGGACTTAGGAATCGTACACCCTCTTCTGTTACTTGTGCAAGCTTTAAGAGAGACACCATCTGGAAGCTATACAAAAGATGGCAAAACATGTTAGTCATGCAAGATTTCAAGGTAGGGTCCGGCCCGAATTCCCTGTATCGGCAGAGTAAGATAGATGATATCCAAGAAGACATAAACCTACCCACCACTATCGGTCAAAATATTGCCATTCCACCCTTGAAACTTATGCGCTCCCCCGACTTCATCTAGCACGGCTTGTCCTGGCTTAAGACCCAAATGATACGTGTTATTCAGGCAAAGTTTACACCCTGTCTGTGCTAGTTGGTCCGGTGTTAGGCCTTTTAATGATGCCTGGGTTGCAACAGGCATGAAAATCGGGAGTTTGACGGGCCCGTGGGGGAGGTGGAGGGTACTCGCGCGGGCTTTCGTGGTCTACGGACATGTGAACTACTTAGCAAATGCGCAGTTTAAGAGTTGGTACACTACAAAAAGAATTACACCAAAAGACAGGTGTATAACTTACGGAGCATTTGGATTCAAGATCAAATGTTAATGCTGAAGGCATCGATCTTCTGGCCTTCCCTTCTGTGGTGGTGGCAGTCGATAAAGCCATCGCGACTTGACCATGCGGCTCAAGCAAAGCACTTTTCTTCGATAGTGGCAAGAACACGGTGGACTTAGTAGCGGGGCGTATGCGCCGTATATATCTCATTGATAGTAGTCAGTATATATGTTCGTGAATGCGCGGTTAACCCAGTCAACTTCAAACTCCAGCTCATTGATTAAATTCAGACCGAAGCTTTTTTAACAAAATATTTGTTTCTGCCGCATTCTGGGCCTTCTTATCTCCACGTGACTTGTGCGTTTTCATGCACAGATTTATGCTCACCTTTTTTAATGCTTTGGATGATATTCCGCGAATATATTAAACGTAGCGATTCGTTAGAAGAAAGATGTGTATTGTGGCCATCTATACTAAACAATACTTATCTCGGACTGGTAGTCAGTCTTCCAGCCGACATCTAACCAGTAGTTTTGCCTTGACCCGCCTTCAGAATAATTGATAGATGCATCCGGAAAACCCCAAAACTCACCAATAAAGTGAAAAATATCCCTAAAAAATACCTAACTATATCATCGAGGCCAAAATCCTAACACAAAGAAATTCATTAAGTTCGTAGGTTGTGATCCAGTCGTTGCATGTTGGGGTAACCGCAACAGAGGCGAGAAGATATAGGGCGTCTCTTGCTTCGAGGATACAGGTCCCATATAAATCGACTAGGATCGAAGATGAGCACCTCAACATCTATAGCCGTTGCCGTCGGACTCTAAAAGAGGGGAGAGTCCTATGGTTGATTCAGTTGAGGCTATAATTGCATTGGGCTCATTCACCCCAGACATGAACCGCGTCCAAGGCCATTCCACCAATCTCACCAAGCCAGTCCTGCGACAGACGACAAATCGGGTCATCTCCATAGCTGTACTCATTCATGTGCTGGAGATCTCTGAAACAGTCTCGCAGCACCGAGTCGACAGCTAATTGAGGACTCATGCTGGTATCTGGGATAGGCCATTGGTCCATACCTGCGTTGGCCATTGGTGAAAGATGAGAAGTAGGCAGGCTTGTGGGAGAAGCCATTGGACCCATTTTCATGGGTGAGACAAGAGATTGGGTACCTGAAGCTGCTGTTGCCGTACTTTGAGGGGGGTTGTTGAGAAGTTCGATGGCATCTGAAAGCACAGCATCGCTGAGACGATGGAAGACTTCATGCGAGTGACGAATGGCACTCCACCTCTCAGAAACAGCCACGAGCACGGTTGAACAAGCCCGAGTTTCGTTGACAATTTCGATTATCGACGGATCTTCGTCGAGCATCACGCCGGCGGGGCCGCCCATGGCTAGTCTTCGCTTTGCACGGAAATGGCGGCCAACAGCATAGATGTATGAGAGTCCAGCCATGAACACAGCATGGAGGGTGATCCATGTGTAATTGATCCGCCTGGAGCGGTGAAGATGTGCGTATAGGGTGATTGACTGCTTTGCCGCGGTGAAGATGGTCTGTATGGCGGTAGGCACTGTTGACGAGACCGCTGGCAGCGCTGGAGAAGGGCGGTACAGCATCAGCAGTGCATTGTAATACAGTAGCTCATACCACTCGTGAGCGCGGAAACTTGATCTGTCACCCGGTATTGTGCTGGACAAGTCCACAGCTGGCAGGCTGAGCGAGGCAGTGTCATGTCGCCACTGTTCGAGCTCTGCTGCTAAGTTATCACGCTTAGACAAGGCAGAGGCTTCGTTGGACTCCTGTGACCCTGACTGGCCGCTATCCATGGAGAAAAGTATTTTACCACAGATAATCCGGTACCGGACTATATGTACGAAGAGAGCGGTGCGAGAGAAGCAATCCGTAGTGGGATGGAAACTGCTTTCTGGCGGGTTTACCTCTAGATCATACTGAGGATCGGGCAGTGCCGTGTCCGTATCCGACAGACGTATCCCAAAGGGCCGGCCAAGAGTATTGCTCACGACACTATGGTATGTTAGAATATGCATGGATGTTGTACACCTTTTTGGGTGTAGATTAGATTCATGTTAAAAGAACGTACCGATCCATTGCAATGACGCAGAAGAAGCACCGCCTGCCAACCTCTGCACGGACGGTGTTACTTGGGGAATCAGTCTCCATCCGGTCTGATGGCGTCCGGGAAGGATATGTTGATTCTCGATGAAGGCCTTGCTCAATGCATATACGACAGGCAACGCCTACCAGGTGCCACATACCTATTTCATGTCAGTTCAAATTCTTTCTGAATTTTTTTTTTCTTTTTATGCATATAGATCTTCGTACGTACTCGCTGAAGTATCCTGAATTGGGCTCCTCATCCGGTACTGGCAAAGCAGTAAGATGGCCTGTAGAGGCTTGATTCCCCCAAGCTGTAGCACTTCGGTCAGTTTTGACAAAGCAACAACATGGAAGTTCTCAGCATCGGGCCGGGTCTGCCAGTCAAACTTGTGATAGTCCACAGACGAAATGGCGAGAATCATGTAGAAGATGAAGCACGAGAAGACATCTCGATCCAGGACGGACGGGTCCCTGTATATCTGCTCGAAGGCCGTCAGGACGGTCGGCCGATGCAGGAACGGATAGCAGAGATAATCGTGTTCGAAGTATGCATGGTGCAGGTCGCGCGCAAACGGCTCCGGCGGGATCTGATATGTCTCTGACTTTGCAGCAGGCGAGCCGATTGAAAAGGCACTGCCGATGCTGCCACCGCGGGCGGGGTTCTCTGAATGCGACGCCCGCGGAGTGAACGCTGTCCTTGCTGGCGTAGATATCGGGACTGGAGCAGCATCGACGGTGGCTCTGACGAGGTTGGCAAACAGCACGCCGCTGCCAGAGCCCAGGAACTGGCGGTCACCACCAGCCGTCAGTGAGAGAAACGAGACCTCATCCGTCACCTCGTTGTCACCCTCCTGCTTCGGCTGCTGCTGCTGCTGCTGCTGCTGTATTCGTTGACCTTGCTGTTGCTGCTGCTGCTGCTGACCAGGGCTGCTGCTGCTGGCATCGAGGCTGGGGCTCTGCCTCGACGCCGGGACTTCAGAACCGTTGCCGGCGTTGCTGCTCTCACTCTGTGCCGCCGCAAGTCTCGCCGCCAGCGCACGATTGGTTGCTTCACACTGCCTCAAACGCCGCTCCAGTCGTTCCACGACCTCCTTGCGATACGTGGGCTCCTTGGACCGGTCGGTGTAGACACAGGCAACGTTTGCCTTCCGACAGGGACCGCAGACCGGCACCTGTTTGTCACATCGCGATTTGCGGCGATGGCAGCGATCGCAGGCCTGCATGCTAGGCCGGGGCTGCTTGCTCTGCTGCTGCTGCTGCTGCTGCTTCAGGCGAGGGAGACGAGGGCAGGGCAGGGCAGACGGGCGGACGAGATGGCGTTGCTGCTGGCCGTTCGATGTTCGCTGCTGGAGTGCGGGCGGTGCAAGGGTTCGGTCGCCAGGGCCGAGGCATCAAAAAGTCTGCCCGCTGGCAAAGGTTAGTCAGTGGGCGAGCGACCGCACAAAAGACGACGACGCAGCCAACGACACACTAACAACGACACTAACACTGGACGCTCGCGCTGCCACCCCCGGCTCTCCGTCTGCGGTGGACCGCCGGTGACAACTTCCTGCGCCTCCGAAACCATATTCGCAGAAGCAAACATAACCAGCTGTCAGACGGAAAAAGAAAGCAGGGCGACGGACGGAACGTTGGTGTGTGGACGCCTTGCGGTGGTGACAGTGGTGATGGAGGTGATGGTGGGTGATACCATGCAGCCTGTCTACATAGCTGCGGACGGAGTATCTCTAAGTAGATTGATACATCCATAATGTCAAGTGACGAGAAGTTAATGCACGGTAGGCAACAATCCCGGGCCTGTCGTGCAGCTCCTCTGACGTCTGGACTTGCTAGTCAGTTATACAATCACACACCCACAACACGCAACTGGCCATATCAAGGACGCCGTTGGACGGCAGACTTCCGGCCGGGAAGTTGTACTTATCCGGGCATGCTGCCATGAACCTGTGGGGAAGAGACGAGATGACGACAGAGAAGGCAGACAGTTGATGGTGAGAATGAGCATATGCATATTACCAAGGGCATGGGGTGTATTGTTTTTTTTTTCCTTCCAAGAGAGTGCTTGCATTGTCTGATTTAAGTAAGTACCTGGGTCGTCTTTTATCCCCTCCCCGAGGAAGGCCAGGAGGAGAAATACCCGTCCATCATCCTGGCAATTCCAACCTTGCATCCGATTCTCTCAAGGCCTTCCTCCCCTCGTCCGGATTAAAACATCGGGAGCCAAAAAAAAAAAGGGAGGCCTTCGAGAACACATAAGACTCCATTTTCAAAGCTGCGGCTAGCCGGAGAACGAAAACGAAGGAAATTAGGAAAGGTTGATTAAAGGGGGCAGGATATGCAGGTAAGTGTCAGAAGGACATACAAAAATGGTGTCAATATAGTTAAAAGGATAGAAGTTAGTTAAATGAAATAGCCGCCAATTTCCTGCCAAAAAAAAGGTTGTAGTCGAAAAGCAATGCCCGAACTGTTTTATACACCTACCTCTCCAAGGCTAGGCTGTATATATATATGTATATATCCAAATAAAATGCCAATAAGAACGTCAATAGCATCGAAATAACGTCTCTGAAAACGTACACCGAGGACAGCATCCTCATGGTCATGGTGATAGCTCGTTGCGTAGAGGAACATGCAAGGGGGGGAGGAAAAAAGGAGGGCACAATGCGTAAATCATTCCGTAATGTTGCCCAGAAGACGACGGGGTAACCAAATAGCATGTCATAGGATCAACACTCGTCCAGCCACTCCCTGGGCTCCCGCTAGCTAGTTAACGCCACAAGACGACGTGGTAGCGGGCGCTTCAAGGACGCCGAATAAAAAAAGCCCGACACCGCGGCTACTTTGGCTGCGCGTATAGCTGTCCCGGTAGAGTGGTAGCCAGCCGAGGCTGCGAGTTCAATTGGGTAAAGGCCACTTCGGCTGCGTCCTCTTTGGCGTTGTTGATGTATTCTCCGGCATAGAAGTAGCGGGCTGAAAAGTTCGATCCCTGGATGCTCACACTGCTAGACCATGCTGTGCGGCCGCCTGGAAGAAGGAGGAAAAAGAAGAGAGTTAACTTGGGCGTTCGTCTCTTTTGTCACCAAAATCTAGGGGAAGAAAAGGAGAGACTGATGGATGGCCAGTCGGGCTATCTTGTTGGAAAACAGGAGGGACATATACACATTATAGACGTGTATATGGGACAGAAATAAGCGGAAAGAGAAGGCGTTCGAGACTGAAAGAGAGGGTAAATAGTAAAATAGCTACCTCGGCGGTCCGAGACGAGACTGAAGATGGGAGCTTGGAGTTTCGATTGTCTGCAGTGTTCTGGTGTATGTATTCAAGTTAGAGACAGAAGGGGAGTCCGAAGGCGAAGTTCAGGACAAATTGACGCACCACTGAGCTTCTCTTGCCAGGACACACGAGCGGTACCACCGTTGGAAGCCATGATTCTGAAGATAACGAGAGAGAGAGGGTTCACGTTAGCATCGACTTATGTCTGGCAACCATGACCCAACCCCATAAACGTTCGTAAAACTGGAGTTGATATAACCCACTGTGATGAGTGCTATAGCTCGAATCTAAACAGTAATGAGAAAAAGCAAGCAGTCGGCAATGGCGAATGTAATGTGGTGTGTGTATAGTAAACAAATGGTGGTAGAGGCGACAGAAGGTCTTTGTGTCGAAAGGGGCTGGTTTTTGTCTGTCTCTGTGAGAGTCTTCAATTCCGGATGGGCGAATATATAGATATATATACATATATATATATCATGGAAACGAAGCTCGTTATAAAGTAACACAGGACAACAGAGTCACAGGAAACTTGCCAGCGACGAGGCAAAAGGGGGGCATGGAACAATCAAGGGTGTCGAGGATCACGACGTTCCTGCAAGCCCGGGGGCCGGGGGAGGGGCGGTTCGTCTTCAAAGCCGTTTGAATGGAGTTGGCATATGCATGGGTGCGGTTTTCTTGAGATTTGTGTCAACCAAGTCAGTGCAAGTAACCAGCTAGGCGATGGTCCACACAGGTTTTGAAAATTCTGCCATTTTGCTAGCTAGCTCACCATTTTCCGATTTTAGGTCATGTCGTATGGATGCAGCAAAGAGAAAAAATAGCAAAAGTCAAAAAAAATTGCAGTAGAAGGGGGGGTGGGATAGGTATAAATTAAAAACGGTACCCATTGAGAGTTGAGATGAACACGGGGAGATGGGCCGGCCCGCTGCAGCTGGTTGTCCACGAAATCAGCAGAAGGCACGCCAGATTCGCCATTCTTAACTAGCCAGGGAATTGGTCTGGGGAACAGCGCCAGGGCGGCATGGTACAAGCGGCCGGCATTGCAGCCAGGCCCCGTGGTAGGGCCGGGAAGACTGGAAGTAATAATGAGCGAACAGGGAGAGAACAGACATGGGAAAAGCCATGTAAGTCCGTATGTATGACTTATCGGTGGGCAACCCGGTGGGCCCACAAGCGGCCCCTAAAAGGAGGGACTCGCAAGGGAATATCGAACAAGAGAAGGGAAGAGAGACGAAAAAAAAAAGAAGTGGAGGGGTAGAATAGATACTGATAGGTAACTTGAAACCCATCGTGAGCAACAGTCCATGGATTAGCCAGCATCAGGGTAGGAGGTCCTCGAGGGGATGGATGGGGTTGCTAATTAGCCGTCTGCTCTGTGTTAGGTATTCATTCCTAAAGACGGTTTGTGTGTCTCTCCCCGTCCTTCCCTTTCTGACATACGCAGATACACATGTATCGAGACCATGGGCGATGCCATGGCTTCTCTGTACCTAGAGAGAACCTCCCTAGGAACGGGTTGAGTTAGTTGGGCAGCGTAGATCACCCACAAGAGGATCCAGCATGTATCTGCCAACTCATCAGCGTGCAAGCGAATAAGGGAAATAGACCCAAAAAAAGAGAGCCGAGCCGAACAACGAGGGGGGAGAAAAAAAGGTGAGGCATCGAAGCCCATCTCCAAAATAACTACCAACTTAAAAATTGGAGTGTGGACTATAATATGCCTGAGAAAGGGCCAAACGAGGCGGAGCGGTTGGGTACACTAGAGCAGAGAGGCAAAGATGCTCCGAATGAAGTCAAGTGTATCAAGCAAGCAAGCATCTGGTCAAGAACCAGACAGGATGGACAAAAAAGGAAAAACAATAACCATCACTTGCTGATTGACATCTTTAATCTCGGCGCTGCGTCCAGTCAGGCCGAAGAGTGGAAGCTCGCCCTGCGTGAGCACCCAGAATCGAACCCTAGACCACCGCAGGGAGCCAAATCGTGAGGCGTGAGATGTGGCTGGCCCGTCAGCATCAAGACTGACTAAAATGCGCAATCCAGATCCGGATTGGACTCCTGGTAGGAGGGTGGAGCAAGAAATATGCAGAGAAACCGCAGGGAATATGGGATGGAGGTTCACACACATCTTGCTCCATCATACTCAAAAAGAAAAGAAAAAAGGAAAAGAAAAGAAACAAGAAGAGAAGAAGGCAGTTTTTGGAAAAGAAACGTAAATAATAAAAAAGATGCACACAAGGCAAGACGGCCAAGGCACGTCAAGGCAAAACGTCCATCGAGTAGAATGAAGCAAGTCGCTTGCCTGCTGCAGTTCCAGCCAGGCCGACTTGCAGCGAGACGCGGCACCAACGGGGGGAAAGAGAGAGATGGAGCCCTTGGGAAGAGACGTCCGCAGGCCAGGGAAGGCTTGAATCCTTTTTGCTGTGCTGATTCGCTGCTCTCTCTCTTTTCTTTGCACTTCGTCTTGGTTGGGCATTCATGCCTGCAGCCTCAGCACGACAGCTTTTGAATAATTCCACAGGCCTAACCGGATCGAAGCTTTGGTCAGCGGCGGAGGAATATCTGCAATTGACGGGATTTGGCTGCACCCTTGAGTCATTTCTGGTTTCCTCGTTTGCCTTTTTGGGAGGGCGATTCGAGTTGTTTCTTTTGGTCGATTTGACATTTTGACTGGTTGGGTAGGAATTTCACGAGCTTATTCGCTTTGCTAGTTGCCGTTGCGTCGTGACATCCGGTTGATTTTTTAATTTCAGGGTGGATCAAAACAAAAATTCCCCGATGGATTGGACGCCAGGCAAAAGTAAAGGAGCCAATGTAAAGGCGAGGAGCTGATAGCTTCGATTGAATAAATAGATGGTACAGCGCTTGCATGGATGAGCAATGATCTTTTTTTACCCAATTGACATCCAAGTATTTAAATATTCTAAAGGGGCATCCTGGTAAACGATGCACACATCACTGCTCGTGAACCAGAGACGAAATGCCAAAAATATCAAGGAAAGAAAAGAAAAGAAAAGAAAATTCGAAGGTTGAAGGAGAAAGAGGAAGGAGGAAGGGGGAGAAAAAAGCACCACAGGGAGATTGAAATCGAAGCGAGCACGGAACCAAGGGTTTTCGACGTTCTGATCCAATCCAACCCGAGACGTACCAAGGCTTCATCCGGGATGATAAGACAATTTTGAAGGGGGCGAAGGATAGGAAATGTACAACAAGGCGAATGTCGTGATACATCAACTATGCGGATTATCGTTAGTGAATATTCGTCAATATGCTGTCCCTTGACTGATCGACTTTAGCATCTCTCTGAGGGAGCCAGCGTTGTTCGATCCGGTCGAGCTCCGCCGGTGGAAAACCTTGTCGATGAATTTCGTCGAAGTGACGGATTCCACGCTTCTCATGAATGAAGAAGCCATGGGTGATGCATGGTGGGAGGTTCGCTTCGAGTGCCATCTTCGTTCAATGCAGTCATCTACAAACGCCACGAGACCCGTTGCGACAATTACACTAGAAGAGTGAAGATTAAGCGAGAATCCGTCAGTCAACATCTCCTAGGTGGAATAGAAGGATATTCGAAAGATATCAGGCTCGGGGGATGGTACTCACTCGGCAACATCTTTCATCTTTTCGTAGAGGGTTGGGTCATTAATCCACATTGACGATGACGGGACCCATGCGCCTTTCCTCACCTCGACGGAGAGCTCTCTAGGGGTTAACGGCTCAGGAATGATATGTGCGACAGGGTTAGATGTTGCCTGGTGGTAGAGGTGATATGAGACCTCTTTGGACGCGCCGTCATTGCGTGTCACCTTTTTCCATTGATATTTGGCGTCCCAGTACTCGAACTCATACCGCCTGGAACTGACGGATCCACGCCTCTTGAGCTCTACATGTGCATAGTTGGAAAACTCCAACTGGATGACATTGACGAATGGGGGTCTGTTAGCAGAATATGTCGACCCCGCATATTTCCCACTGCCAATGGGCTCGTCGTCGTCCAATCCAGACTTGTATCCCGAGTCTGGTCTTCTTAGGCCCTTCGAGGGTCTCGTGCCTGCACCTGCATGAGAAAGCAACCCCGAGATGGGATTGCTCATGTGTTTGTGGCCAGACGACCCCGGTCTCAATTTGGGCATCTGTGGTTTTCTCAGGGAATGGCAGACTTCCCTCCTTGAATCCCGACAGTATCGACGGAGTGAGAATTTCTTATCATGGAGGTCGTACATGCGCAGGTGGAACAGTATTGTTTCATCCTGGCGCCCTGGGGACTCTGCAGCTAGAGTGGTGACCCGCAGGTTCATATTTCCATCCAGGGTGGTATCGTCATGCCTGACCATGAGCCTTCTGGATGACGGGAATAGATTGCCGAAACTTGGGGGAGTGGAAGGGATTGCATTCGAGGGGATCACCTCACGTCTTTCCTCGACAACTTCAACCCGAGGCTCGGTGGTCGTTTCATGCACAGATGCATCGCTCGAGACATAGGTGTTAACCGACTCTGCGCTGGCAGAGTTGTTATTTGGAGGATCTGCGCGGAGGTATTCCCCTGCCGTGGCCTCCGGTGCCATTGCTGCTATTATACAGGAATTTGTGTGGATGTGTACGTGAAATATGACTGTGAACCAGGAGAGCGCCGCGCCTGTCCTTTGGACGCCTCACCTCAAAAGCATCATCAACAGTAAGTATCTAAATGAAGCTCGCCCTGGGCGATAGAGCTGTAGAGATGGTCAAAGATCGCCTGTAAGCTGATGTAACGACGTCCACAGAGCCAGCGGGTTGCCTGAGCTATCCACCAGACTAGTAAGAGATGTAATTCTGAAGAGCCAGATCAAGGACAGAAAACCGAGAACTTTGTAGCCATGCTCTGCTATTGTGAGGCCTTCTTTCAGTGAATAATGTGATATGAATGAAGTAGCAGAGGTGAGGCAAACTCGGGCAGCCTTATGTAGGCATTGGGCCAACGAAGCGCAGGAGCAAAAGTAACTAATACGGCCGGCGACTAGTACACAGGCATTCCAATACCGAGTATAACGCCCGTGCCAGGTCCTGTTCCACCCCCTTTAACCTAGGGGCGATGGTGTTTAAAATAAATCGGCCCTCGCGGACGCTGGAGGCCTTTAAACGTCAAGACTTGTTGTCGTTGACGTTGGAAGTTCAGCGGATATTTTGGTTTGTTCATGCCCAGTTAGGATCGTCACATGACCACAGGCGAGCCCTGGCCCTTGGGGTTACATAGCCCCTTTTCTCCTGGTCCCTTATCCTTGGTTATACGAAGAGGTTGTTATACATATATCGCTGCTCTGCATGTTCGGGCTGTGTGGTATCTTCCTGCTGGGAGCCCTGTATAGAGCTTGACAGCCCGTCCTTGGCTAGGCTTTATTCCATCCTGGGCACGCTTGTGGATTTAGTTCGCGGGCTTGACTTATAACAGCATAGCTAACGAGTTAGTTAAACCGCTGGGTAGCATTTTTTTCAATCACGTCAATATATATATGTAGATGATTGCAGGCCACCGGAAAAAGCTTTATTGATAAGACGATGACAATATACAGTGATAATAACTGGGATACTATACTGACTTAACTACTTAAGTGCTTATTATGGGCTACCCGCCGGATCTCTCACCCCGAGTGGATACCAACCCCAGACTTTTGGATATGGAGGAGATGGAAGCCGCTAATGTCTAGGTCAATAACAATATTAGTATCATGAGACATGTAAATGTATATATGTGTATATAGGTGGATATATTGTGTTTCTGGTATATTATATAGTATGGGTAACAAATTATATACTGCGGTTTATCCTCACAGCAAGGTCCTGAACCCGATATCTGAATGAAGATAAAATACATAAAGAAGGATAAGGGAAAAAGCGGTCCGCCGGCTAGGTCCTGAATATTAACAAAAAAATCCAATCCTCCGACATTATCGAGGCGTTATCACCGAATAATAGGCATGGGCATGGGCATGGGGCTTATTAGACCATGACGCCAACAATGATGCCGACGGTGAAGATGACGGCGAAGGCAGTGCTGAAACGGCCACCAGGAGCAGAGTTGCCGGTGGGCTTTGGAGAGCCAGACTCGGTTGTGGATGCGGAGGAGGATGGGGATGATGACTCGCTAGGGGAGCCGGTCTCGCTGGGGAGGCTGGTCTGGGTGGCAGTCTCGTTCGTGTTTTTGCGGTTGCACCAAGCATCCTGGTAAGGGAGTTTGCCATCGAAGAGGCAGTGCGTGAGCGCATCAGCACTCTGCTTGTAGGCCAGGCAGTACAAAGCACAGTCGTTATCGTAGGCCACGACGGGAGCACCGTTGCAGCACATCTTCATGAGGTCGGGGTTGTTATTGCGGTTTGGGACACCGCAGGCGACGTCCTTGACTGGAAGGTCATACTGCGTAGGGGTGCCGCAGAGGGCAGTGCTCGAGGGCATTGGGCTAGAGGCAGTGGTAGAAACCATGGCTGATGTATTGCGACGATAGAGAACGAGAGAATAGATATAAATACAAAGCGAGTGACTGCGCGTGGTGAACGAGTTGTTGATGGCTGTTGAAAAGCTTTTCGAGTGCTTTTCTGAAGTTGTCTCAGCCTCCCGAGGGCGCAACCGTAACTAGTTAACCAGTTAGTTATTTATTATGTAAGCCGACTAGTTAAAATTGACGAACGTTGACCGAATTTGACCACTCGACAGTGATTTACTCAAGCAAATTGACAGCTAGTTGACGCTCTGCACTGAAGTCAGCATAATACGGCTGCTGCATCCCTTGGAGTAATTGTTCGGTTTATATTAACTCTCAGTAGGTAAAAGAAGAGAATGTCAGGCTGATGCTTCCTATTTTCGGCGCCAATGCTCAGTCATGGGGTTGATCATCCTGTGGAGGCTCTCCTACCACCCCTGGAAAATAATCATCCCACACTGGGTCATGATACGGGGCTATATGGTTAATTTTCCGCCGCGTTTCCTCCTCTCTTCTCTTGTATCTTTGGTAACTGTTTGTTCGGATTTCGATATGCCACCATTCGCATTTGCCCTTAAAAAAGCCTCCTCCCTTATGGTTTTCCCCTCTCGTGTGGCATTTGTCCACAATCTGCCGAAAATTCTGGCCACACTGGTCGTCGACATCACCGCGGCCATTCATAACGAAATTTTCAGGGCAGTCTTTGTGATTATTTTTGGGATTTTTTTCTCGATGTACCGAAATGGTAACGAATGACTTGCACTTCCCACTGCTGCAGTCTCCGCGAACAATTACCGCGGGAGATGTCGCGTCTTTCCACACACCGACTTCGTCGCCGGGGAAACTGTAATGGTCATACTTGCGACAAAAGAACCTTATACCTAGAATCAGTTCCTTGCGATCAGCCACGCCGTCTCCATCATTGTCACAAAGGAGTTCACCCTTGTCCTGGATGTGAGCCCACGTGTACGTTGGGATTACCACTGTCACTGTCTGGCTTGGCTCTTCTTTAGTGGTAGAAGTAGGGCCAAAACGAGATTTGTCTCGGTTTATTCGTGCTTGATGAAGTTCATCCGCAAATGGACTTGAACTTCTCGTCGGGCAGTGGTGTTTGCACGGGGTAATATTCTTTAATGGTAATAATTCTCCCACTGTCAATTGTGGTAGACGTGGGTGACTGTTGTCTTTTCCACTGAGCAAGCCGTCACAGTTGAGCATTTAGTTTTGGTAGTACTGGAGTATACCGAATCACTCCGTTTATACTTGTAAATAGCCTCTGTGCATCTAGGTGCAATTTCCGGTCTCTCGCACTCGTCGGTGTCCTGTTTGCATTCGGACCCAGTACAGAATCCGTTCTTGCATCCCTTGCCCTGACACTTGAAGGACTTACAGCGAGGGCCTTGGCAGGCAGGTGGACAACCAACACAAGGTGGTAGGCAGTCTGCCCCGGTACAGCCAAAGCTCATGCAGTGCGAATCAATGCACTCGCCATCGTCGCTGCATTTGCCGATGCACCCGGGTGGTTTGCATCCAGTTCCCTTGCACCCTGGTAGACAGTTCTCTCCTACACATGGGAGCCTAGCACAATTTGGACCGAGGCAGATTCCCTCATGACAATCAGGCCCAACGCAATCAAAGTTGCTGCAAAGGTTACCCAGCTTGCAATTCCCATCTTCGCATTGTGAACCAACGCATTTCCGACGGTCTCTCTCCTTCGGCGGATCAGGGTCATTCGGGTCAATAAAGTCTTTTCCATGGTTGCTACAATCTTTCTCATTACAATCACAAAATGCCCCTTTGCATTTCTTTCCGCAGTCTTTGATGCATGTTGGGGTAGGAGGTCCGCTGGTAAATGACACAGTTGGAAGCTTCCCGTTGTCATGGATTGAGCTAAGTGGGTATGGTTTTGGTGTGAACATTCGAGATCCAGGAGGTGGGGTTGGGAAATTATCACTTTTATGGGAAGCCTTGCCTCCCAGAGGCGGAATAATAACGATGTCCGTACTTGAGTCTGATTGTCGGTTTGACGTTGGCTGTGAATTGTGACCATTGGTTGGATTATTATTATTATTATTATCAGCTTTGTCCGATGTCCGGGATGGGAACACAGTGGTTTGCCTATTGGAAGCATGACCTGTATTTGATGGGGTGGTTTGTCTATCCCCTGGAGAGGAAGTCTGATTATCAGGAGGGTTTGGTCCAGATTGGGTACTATCTCTGTTAAAAGTGTTATCGGCAACCTCACTAGATTCTCGAGAAAGAAAAACTTCAGTAGTAGAAGTATCTGGTCGACGGCCTGGTGTAGGCCGGCTGTCACCTCGTGTAGGCTGGCCATTACCATTGGAATGACCATTAGTGGTAGGCCGATCGTTCCCTTGGGTTAGTTGATTACCACCTTGAGTAGGTTGACTGCCCCCGTGTGTAGGCTGGCCACCGCCTTGAGTTGGTTGATCACCTCCGTGAGTAAGTTGGTCGTCCCTATGAGTTGGTTGCCCATCTCCCACGCCTATACTATGAGGATTACCCGGCTGCCCAACTTGACTATTCCCCCTATTTTGAGGTGGAGGAACAGCCCCTGAAGGCACACTATTAGTTATCATAAATGGGGGCGGCAAAATGCTGCTCACTACCACATAGGTAGCTGAGGATATATCTGTTTGGGTAACTGGCCAATGCCACATGTCAAGGACAGATGTTGTAAGTGGCGGGATGGTGATGGTGGTTGGTTGAATTGTCCTTACAGACCCAATAGAGCTTGAAATTGCACCGCCAGGGAGGGTTATAGCTTGAGCCGTCCACCATAGAACTTCTAGGGAGGTGGTATAAGGGGGGAATGTGATGGTAGTGACTTCATCGAGTGTGAGCCGAGGCATGATGAAGGTACATGGAGGTATACATGCAATTCCAGGCTTATCAACCTTATATATCTCAGGGGAGATGTAAACATCACCAGAGCCACTATCATCGCCTTCCAGATCAGCACCATCGAGGTTTAATGTGTCGCCCTCGAGTTCGTCGGGGCGGACCATGGTACCAGGACCTCCAAGATCTAGTGCCCAGGCAAATGTGCCTCCCAGGCATAGGTTATTTGCAAAGGAAGCTTTTTGTTTCAGTGTTCTTCCATCATCAAATGAGACCCTAGTTCAAATTCATATTAGAAATGCTCTAGGTCTCCTAAAGAAGGTGATTAATAATGGCTTACCATTGATCGCTATCCCAGGTAATCCAATTTACTCCAGCTTCATCATTGTAAACAAGCTCCGGTGATTTCGACTTGAGAACTCTGTTAATTTCATAATTGGATAGTGTCCCGCTGTTCAAGGTGCAGCGGCCTGGACGAGCTCCGCCAGAATTTTCATCTCCTGTCCTTTTGAAGGAACAGCCAGGGGTATTACATCTCGGATCGCCTAGAGTGAAGGAGCGTCCGTAAAAGCCGAGCCCCAGTAAGACCTTTGCCGGAGGGACGGAGTTACGCCACAATAGATCTAGACCAGTGGATATTTCTATATTGTATTGTTAATCAGAGACTCTAAGACATATAGATAATCATCTCGCATTTCCTTACCAGTCAGGTTTGTATGT